AAAGAATCGATTCTTCAGGTGTTCGTTGCGAAACATCTTGTTTATCGATCCGTCTTCATAGGTTTGAAGGGCAGCTAAATCGATGTATTGCAAAGCACGCCACGCCACTGCTGCAAAGCTCCTTTCGCTAGGAGGGCACCATATGGTTTACACTGTGATTTCGAAGTGTTCATGGAAGCCTTTGCCACAGCATCATAATTAGGACAATTTTACAAACGTGGAGTAAATTAATTCACAGAAAAACTTTCGACACTGATCCTTACGAGGAGCTAAAATGATGTGCATATACACAAATTAGGAGACAGGGAAGAAAATACTGGGGATTTTTAGGTTGTTTCGAATACCTTTTTACAAGTATACAAATATCATACAATTTTTTTCTTTCTAGTATGTAATTTTTGCAGTGGCACATTATTTCAATGCGTTGCAAGGGTCCATTTCTAGAGAAAGACTATTAAGTTTCACTCTTGCTCGTAAGAAATGAACTGACAGTGGTTTGCTTGAGGCTTTCACTAAACCTTCAAGGTCTTGTATTTTTCTTGATGCATTCAAATGACGTACTCAGCAAAAAAGTAGGAGGATAATTTTTGTAAAAGTCAACATTATTCCTGTGCCTTAAAATCCATTCATTTTCCACTGGGTTCATTTGACCTGAGTTTATTTGTGTTTTTCGACGTGCTAAAAGTTTGAAATAAGTAATTTTAATAGGATCAATAAGAAACCATACAAGAAAAATAAAAATAAACTCCATGCAATAACTTTTCACCAGTTAATTTTGGAATAACGTACTTTGAATGGAGGTCTGATGAAGAATCATTTCTCGCGATGTTTTAGGTGGTTTTAGGACATTTCGTCAACGATTTTTGTCCGCGCACCTGTTTTTTCCAGTAATTTACGTCCACGCGTTTTTTCGGTACGGGAGTTTTGGTCCACGTGCCAGTTGAGACCCAAAGTTAATTTGCCCACATGTAAATACAAACGACCATTGCTCACGACGTTTTTGGATGAAAATGTATAATGCCTTCGAAGAATGAGGGCTAGCTTGTTTTTTGTTTTGTCTGTTTGGTCCAACGGAGAATAATATATAGTTGAGAGTTTTGGTAAAAATATGGGGAGCGTCAATTCCATGAGACAAACTTCACTAAAATTCTCTATACCTTTTTGGTATAATAGGACTTAATTATCTTTCAAGAAATCCCCACCTTGTTATACCTGAACCGGATAAACCTCTATATATGCCTCAGCTAAAGGCTCTTAGATTTTTCCTGTGTACGATAAGTATCTTGATTTATTTTGCGAGGAAAGATCTGTACCTTTAAAGGATGCCTGTCATTCTTAATTTCAATTTCGTATAATACTATGCAACACCTCTGTTGTGAAATAGTTGCTTCAGGCGCCGCCGCACGGCGGGCGGGCGGCCAGCGCGGAACGCGCATTGGCGCCTACAAACCTAAGTGAATACTTCAAGCATTGTGCAATGCGTAAAGTATCCACTTAGGTGTGTAGGCGCTAGTGAGCCTTTCGCGCTGGCAGCACGCCGCTCCGCTCCGTTAATTAGGCTTTAATATTTATACTCGCATAGTCAACGTTTTTTAACTCATGATTATGAAATGTTTGCACACTCTGCATTGATTATTCTCATTTAATTTAATGGGAAATAAATATGTATCAATTTATCAACAGAGAATAATAATATGATGTGTATTTTTTAAATATTGGTGGTTCCGTGTCAAATCTAATGATTTCCAAAGCACATTAATTTTTTCTTTTACATTTTGTGCTATTATTGTGCTGCAGCGAGGTGTACGCGCAACCAAACGCTCAAAATTTGACGCATTTGACTCTAAAAGATCAATGTACAAATGGGTTAAAACTAAAGATTGCGTGCTTCTTGGTTTTTTTTCCTCTTTCATTCATTTTTGCGGTTTCTGTGGGCACAACTGCGGCTCATTGAGATGAATGTCGCTTGGAAAAGGTTTTACAAATATTTGTCACGTTTTAAAAATATAAATGTTTTCAAAATGAAGTAATAATTTCGTAAAGAGAAAATTCAAAAAATAAAAAAAAAAGTACCTACACATGTATAAGGTATATTTTACATCGAATATTCTAAGGATAGAAATAAAACCAAATATTCACCAATGACAATTTAAAAAGATGATTCAAAGGGAGAAAGTAATAGCATTTCATTTAGAAAATGAGCAACCATAACGACATCTCCTTCTCTCTCAATTTCTCATTTCCATATTGTCAATATAATTTTACATACGGACTAAAATATGACGCTTGGACCAAGTCATTGTTGCTTATTTTACGTGTGAGCGTAAACTACTGGACAAAAAAGGTGCGCGGACAAAAAATCGTTGACAAAATGTCCTGAGACCGTTTTGGGTAGTTCTAACTCTGTCTAGGGCTCCGTCGAATTGAAGAAGATTTACGGGTGATAGAAGATGCAGACAGTTTTAAAATAATTTGACGATATTTTTTACCGAAGAGTCACTTCGACTGACGATAAAGTTATGCATGGATGACTGAAACCTCAGAAGAGTTTATGAGAGTTTTAGGCACCTAGGTTTGAGGTACACTGGGGGTTTGGACGGTTCTCAAGTTTGTCGACCCGGATTGTCACTGGAAATTAATAACTCTTTTTCTGCGCCAGTATCTGATCATGGGAATATAAATTGACCAACGAAACAGATGACAAGAAAGAAGACATTTTTCACTCAGCAAGCTGTCAAAGTTGGAGCTACAAGTTTGATTTGGGCCACCCAAGTTTGGTCGCGCAAAAATTCTTCTTGATTCATGATTCAAAATGGACAGTTACCAATTCTAAAAAAAACTACCATTTAGAGGTATACTACATAAATTCCTAAAATTATTTCGATTTTAACAAATATTAAACAGTAAAGATGTATACTAATACTGAATTTCGTTTAAAACTTTAGCTTCATAAAGTTAATCTTTTCAATCTTTATTTTACCTAAATCTTTAGTAGATTCCTACTAAATTATTAAGCTCGTAAAAATCAAACATTAATCATCAAACTCTATTTAAACTGCTGGTAATTGTGTTACTTGATCGTTTTATCAACCATTTACTCTAAATTTATAAAGATCGCATTTAATTAGAGATTAGTTTGAAATGCACAATCATAATGCAATTTCAAAATTAGGCACACAAATCACTCCATAAGTAAGTAAGTATGTAAGTAAGCGTAATAGTATAGTGCAATACTTTTCATATACGCCTCTATTACTAATTTATTTAATTGGTAGCCTATGATGAGTTGCGTCAACCTGTAAGTTAACATTCGTAGCCAGTCATTGGCAGATGGAGAATGAAGTTCGAAATTGTAATGCAATCTTGAATTTGAACTCAATTTTCACGGAAATGTGGGCAAACCCATCCTAACTTACCAGTGGTGAGCATAAAATATTCAAGCCATGCCGATAACCACATTGAGAAGCAAACGATGCCTTGTGTCGTTCTTTTACGCCTGAGAATATGCAATGCGCAAAGCATTACGCCGAACGGTATACCTGGCTGATTGCAGGCGTTTTATGCACGTAGAGTTAGTAAAACTGATTAAACCGTTCTTTACATTCATTGAGATTAATGTCTAAGCATTCTCATCCTATAAAAAGTTTGTGAAATGAGCTGAATTATAAAGTAATATACGGGGTATTTCAAAAGTCCTGCACCACCAGCACCAGAGGGTGTTGCTGCGCCCGCATCAACCCAGTAACTTTTAAAACACATGAGGTATGATTATTTCGTGAACGCTGCTAGGTCAAAAAAAGCGTTTCTCGGGATCGCCTAAAATTTTAAGGGGACCTCCTGGAAGAGGGGAGGATCCCTAGGGATCACGGGGGGTGGTGTAGGACTTTTTTTATCACTATGTATAGAAGACTATAAAAGAGAAAAGGCTGATGATACAATTCATAACATAAAAACTAAAAAGTACTGTAGTGCTCACTTTTTTACTCTGTCTAGTATTTGAAAAGCTCTTCAATTTCCATTATGAAGCATTACCGAAACACTCGCACAGATCTATCTTTAAAAAGTCGGTATAAAAAAAAATTGTTGGAGTGCTTCTAGTTCCAATTTCTCATATTGATTAATTCGAATTTAATAAATTGACGATTAGTTGTCACAACATAGTAGACTTTGAAAATTAAGGCGCTTTGTGAAAAGCGAACTCACTTTGTGAAGACAGTGGATTTCACCTTTTACATTTTTGGCAGTTCTATAAACTCCGGATTTCCCCTAAAGGTGTTTAATAGTGCATGCGATAAGTAAATAGATAAATAATATATCAACCTTAATTTAACCGTGTGTTTACATTTTATCCACAAAGAGCGGGTTCAATGTGCAAAAACTGTCTCTCCACTGTTTGGCATAAAAAGAGCAATATATGATCGGTTAATTATATTATAGTCTCTAATTGTAGAACCATTTAGCTAGAAGAGCACTCACTCTCATATATGCTGGCCCTAGTTGATCGTGCAAAAAATGCAGGAGCTGGTTATCGTATAAAATATATTTTTTCTTCCAAATTCGTCATTATCTGCTTTTTTTCAATATCTGGTTACTCTTAGTCTTGTATAGATGAAATTTTGCTCATCAGACCAAATTTTACAAGTTTACTCCTCATTTACCAATTTGAACGCAATCCTCGAACCACAACAGGAGCCGCTCCGATAAAGGAGAGTTCAGAAATTTTGTGTGGTTTTGGACAGTAAATAATGAATTAAAAGGTAGAATAATTCTACTAAGTCTCAGGAGAATAATTACACGATGTGTTTCACTATGGTTATGCGCTACAACTTACTAAGTTTCCAACGAACTATACTGATGAATGCGCTAATTCTGATTTGTAATTTTATTGACTGTCTGTTATTAGTCTTCTTCTTCGCTCTATCGGGCAACCTGCCCCTTTATGCAGTCCTTTGAATTTGAATGATTTTTTAGGAGAGTGTATAGGAGAAAAAAAATAAACATGCTGAATTATGTCATTTATTGGATCAAAGGATGTTTCTTGGAAGTAAACGCATTACAAGTTTGATTGAGGTCGGAATCTCGGAAGAAATCGTCCCTCGCTATAATTGCGAGGTAAATTACCTGTCATCATGGGGTTTTCTTTAAAACCAGCGGAAAATCAAATACAAAAAATTAGTGTTCGACAGTTATTTGATACTAAACAACTTTTGTCTTATTGCACATTAAAATTTTCTAAAATTTCCGTTTCATGGTATATCATGTATTTATTCATTCCAAACAAAGTAGTCATACCATTCCAGTTTAAGTAGGTCAACAGCAGGTCAACATATTTATTCACATTCAAAGATTCAATTGACTGCGATCTTATTTGAGAAAATAAATGCAAATGCTTTAAAATTCTTTAATATATGGTGACTTCAAGGTAGTCTAATAGTAATAAGAGAGTCATGGGTACTTGTTTAACTTATTATGCTAAATTCATAACTAAAATTCCAAAAAATGATAAAAACACCTCGATAAATTACAGCACCTTCGTTTAGATGGCTCTCATCTGCATGATGAAATATCTATTTAACAAACTAAGGATGTATTAAAGGCCGATGGAAGATTACTCAATCAAGGCCAAACCAGGATCAATGTTTTTGAGATGAATGGTCCTTAAAAACGCTGCGGTGGTCATGGTGACGTTTTCGAATGCGAGTCTTTATTAGATACCCAGTGGTCAGCGTCTACTGTCTTTTCGATATTGAACCGCTGTTCCAAGGTCACAAGAGGGTTACGCCAGACTCGTAGCCTCTGGTTTCATGCCAAGAATCTGGAGGGAGCTGCTGCAATGCTGGGAGGTTGCGTTTGTGTTCGCGAGAGGAGGATTGCGAGACCCTCTCTGATGAACACCATCCTGATGAATTTGTGAAATGTGTTAAATCCGGCAATGCGAGTTGGTTTTGAATCAGCATACGGTGTATTTGCAAACTGCGAGCTCCATGTCCGAGAAGGCAGTGTTTTGGTCATCATCGTTGTAGACCTGGAACAGGGGGGCAATGGTTAAAACATTCAGTCGTTTTTTGTATCAATGGAGATGTTGCATGTGTGAGGAATTGGCGATTTTGATTGATTCTCACGTAAAAGTTTGCGAGAAAAATGATGGTGCCACTGGTTTTCTTTGAAATCAACTCCCAAGCTCAAAGATAGCTCTCAAGTTGAGGCCAAAATAGAGGGGATATCCCACGCTATCCTGAGAGTGCACCTCTACATCCAGACAAACTCTCCATGCAAAGATAGGGAGCAAATACATTGACAGGGCTGCCACTTTATTTGGGGACTCAAAAATTGAAAACACGGCATCACTGCTGATGTATTTGCTCCCTATCTTTTCATGGAGAGTTCTTGATGTAGAGGTGGACTCTCAGGATAGCGTGGGATATCCTCTCCATTTTGGCCTCAACTTGAGAGCTTTTTTTGAGCTTGGGAGTTGATTTCAGAGAAAACCAGTGGCACCATCGTGTTTCTCGCGAACTTTTACGTAAGAATCAATAGTCAAATCGCAAATTCTTCACACATGCAACATCTCCATTCTTGTCACTTTGCAGGACTCGTTACCCTCAATGGATCTGTTGCACGCAAGAGATACGGCCAATGGAATACTATTTCAAAAAGTCGATTCGCTCGAAAATCACGCTGGGCACACCAAAGATGTTTGAAATCCACTCCTCGCCGCGGAATCTGCGTAGTTTGTAAGACGCTTTTTCAAATGAATCGCGTATGCGGGCAGGAAACAGAGATCAATACGTACATTCAACTGTAAGCTTTGGTAGTCATATTTAAGGTAGTCGTTAAAATTTGTTTTTGACATTGAGTCTTATGGAGGAATAAAACTGCAGACCTCTTTTTCTCGGACTTGGTCTATTTCTGAGCTCTGTCCAGTTCTAGGTATTTAACCACTGAGTTCCAATACATTTTCGATTACCAAAGTGCGAGATCATGTATCTTTAGTGCTGCGTTTCAAAATTTCCGCGCCTATTTCATTTTTTTAAAGGGAAAAAGTCAGTTTTATAGCTTGAAATTTATACCGACCATTCTGCTGACAAGGGAGAGAAAACCAAGGAAGTATTCCAGAAATTACGTTGGATAGTGTCCCGAAGAAAAAATGAGGTATGACAGGACGTCTACAACGTCGCAAGGAGATACGTGGTTTCGCACTTTGGCTATCGATTTGTTTAGCGTTTTAAAAAAAGGATGAACATTGTTTTATATTAATTATCACGTGGGCATGCATTTTGCACTATGGTCTCGCACTTTGGCTGTGGACATTTACATGCCAAATTACCTTGTTCAAGACGATAGTCGGGACGAAACTTGGTCCTCGGTCCTTGCCTGCTGGTGCCGGGGTATTACTGATGGTGTCCATCTCGTGGTTCATCAACAATTCTCTGCCGAGGGAATTCTGCATGCAGTTTTCAATCTCTGAGTAGTTAAGTCCTGCCTCTTCAATGCACTGAAATTTGAGAAATATTGTCAAACATATGAAATAAGGAAACTTCGTATTAGTTTACTACCGTACACATTCTCTTGCATCTGGCTGATTGGCTCCTATGAATTTTTTGGTCCTCAAAGAATGGCTTTCCGCCTTTGAACAGAGAAACACAATTTTAGGTATAAAGTTAATGAAAAAAATAACGAATTAAAATAATGTATATTCATGGCTGTATATTTTCCGAAAGTTCTGTGTATGAAATAAGATGATAAATACGTTTCAAATTGCAAATTATCAGTGCAAAGTTAGAGAAAGATGAAGTTGTCAATATTAACTTTGTTCCAAGACATCAGTTAGTTTTATTTGTCTTGTGTTCCACCTAAAATAAAGAAAAAATAGCCAAACCATCACACGCGCAGAAAATAACTTATATTCATTGTTTATGAGAGCACGTATAGTATGTACGTACACTTACAATCAGCTTCAGAGATATGATTTCATAGTACTCATAATTTTCAGTGCCGCTTAAAATTTTAAGGAAATCTCTAATCTTTCAAGTGTTTCTTCATTGTTATACTCGACTAAGCAGCCTAAAGTCTGGCGGGAAGCGCATGCTACATGATTGAAGGCGCTTTTGTATCTACGCCAACGCGACGCCGACTAAACTCGACACGGATCCCCTGTGCTATGCCCGTTTCACGCAATTATGACATGATTATTCGCCGTTTTTATGCGGTTTTACACAAAATAACTCCTTACCCTGAAATACCATCCTTCTAACTACTCATAATGGTAACTGAAACTGATTGCTCGAAAAATGCATGCACATATGCCCCTCCAGCTCATAATCCTTCAAATAAGAAGAGGATAGGTTGAATGAGGATATTTAGTGACAACAATTTAAAATATTCCTAAAAAAGTAAGGGGTACCACGCACATTCATGGGACCAATCTGACCAAAAAAGTGCGATGTATTACATCAGAATATTTTCCGCGTCCACAGAGCACTTCAATACTGTAGATCGCTTGGAAGTGTTGTTCTCGAAGCCTTCCTTATACTTCATGTGGGATTTAGAGGATTAAATCAGATCAGATTTACTTTAGAGCATGGTTATATGCTCTATTTAATTTTCATTTTATTGAATTTTCTCTGTAGAGGCTGATAGTCGGACTGTCTTTTGTTCTCATGATTTCCTCCTCAGTTTATCGTAGTTTTGAAGACTACGATATCGATCCTGAAATATCTAAACACGGATCGACTCTCACTACTATGCGTTTTAGATACTATGATAGATTCTATGACGCGGCGAAAAAAGGTGTGGGGTGCTTTACAAAGCATTTACAGACAGATCAAAGGCGTCATGAGAATTCCTCTATACCAAAGGAATCTTGTGGACTTCTTCACTTATATTATGACACATTTTTCACACCTTATTTCGATGGCTGATTCTCCATTAAAATTTTAAATTTTAATACTTACATTTCCCAAATGATCTGATACAGGAAAAATAGAAATTAAGATACTAGTTAGAACCTTTCATGTACCAATCTCTTTTGCAGCATTTTAATTGTTTTAAAATAAGTCACTTTCCGGCAATCTGACGACAGTGGGTATCTTGTACTTGAAACATTGGTAAGTGCTTGAGACAAATCTGAATTCTGAATTGATATTTACATGAATCAGACGTTTGAGTGTTCCAGTCAAATGCTATCACGTGATGTCATCGCAAAAATGCAACAATTATATCCTCAACACTTCATGAACGAGTGTTTACACGCGGATAGTCCAAAATCTCCCAGCAAATGAAGCAAAATTTTCATGAAATGTCGTCAACTTGTGTGCCAAAAGTATAATTAAACGTTATCTAGTAGTAAACGATTAATGAGCTATTGGGAAAAGAACCTGTTCATTCCCGGGGCGAATTGAGTCCAAACTCAGACATTAGGAGATTGTATTTCAAAAAACTTGCTACGATCGAACCCTCGTGAGAACTTAAACAAAATCAGATTTGATTCTAAACGAAGTGCACTGCTGTATGTTTTCAATTTTAAGAGGTATAAAGGTACTCTTTATTTAGCGATGACAAGTATTTGATTCTATTTTAAATGCTTACTTGTTTGTCATTGTAACCAGGCCTGTCCATTGCGCAGTAAACATAGTCCATTTGCGTCTTGCCTTTACTCAACTGAGACAGCGCGCATGCCTGGAGCATGTTGCCCCTGCATTCTCTGGGTCCGTGCTGACACTGGAAGTTGCCGTTAGGGAGACTCTGTGGCAGAGATCCAACAAATAAAGCATTAAAAATTCGTGAATACCATTAAAAAAAATATCGCGCATTATTTATTTTCGCATTAAGAGCACACTATTCCCAACTGTTCGGGAAAATGGGCTACATTTTGCAATTTGGAACTAAAATTCCTGGCTCAATTTAAGAACAGCATGTGTACCATTAGTTTTTCTATGCACACAAGTGTTTTTAAGGACGAGCCAGAAATTTTAGTTCCTAATTGCAAAATGAAGTCCAAATAAGGATACTCGCCTACGGTTTGACATCATTAGGCATTTTGAAATGATTCGGGATGGTGATTTTTTTTATTGCTTGCATCAATGAAATTTTCCCTTTGCTATATTGTTTTAGGTACACTAATTCCGTTCTCTCGTGTCAGTTCTTCGAGGATAACCATTAAGGGCTCGCCTATCGTATAGTAGTTGTTTCTAAAGGGAGTTAAGAAATTTGACGATGGAGAATACATGATGGCTAAAGTGCGAAACCACGTATCTCCATTGCGCTTTTTCAAAATCTCTGCTCATAGTTTTTTTTTGTTTTTCCTTTTTTTCCGAAGAGGAAGAAATCGCCTGTATAGCTTGAAATGTATACATAATATTTTGCTAACAGAAAAGAAAACCTAAGGAAGTTTTCAGGAGATTACGTTGACTAGTTTTCCAAGGGGAAAAAGAGATACGAATGGAAGTCTACAACTTCAGTAACGGGGGTACAAGGTCTCGCACTTTAGCCATCGCTTACTTTGGAAACCCGTTTTCTAACAAAACAAACGTTCAGACGTTCAATATGAATAAAACTTTTTGATACAATATTTACACGCATTTTCGAACTCAGTATTAACAGAACTTGTAGAAACTTGTAAATTGCCGAAACCATATGCTTATTAAGGTGATTTGATGGACGCCATATTTTGTGTTGGAACGACATGCGATATATCGCATCGATTAGTTCCATTTTTTCAGCTACTTGTCATTTTTCTTGAATTTTGAGATCGCAATTCTGTTGTAAGAAGACTAAAGAATTCACTTACCAATTTTGATAAACAAATTTAAAGCAATATAGGCGCGGTGATTTTAGAGAGAAAAAATCGCATTCGAGTTTAGTTTCGATATCAGTATCGAATGCGATATTTTTCCTCTAAAAAAAAAAACACGAATTTATTACGTTAAATTTGTTTGCCAAAATTTGTAAGTGAATTCTTTAGTCTCCTGACAACAGAATTGCGATATGAAAATTCAAGAAAAATGACAAGTAGCTGAAAAAATGGAGCTAATCGATATGATAAATCGCACGTCGTTCTGACACAAAATACAGCGTACATCGATTCAAACCCCTTGAAATTATTCAAAATAAAATAGAAATAAATACGTATGAATTAAAAACTAAAATTAGTACAAGAGATTTTAATTTCATAGTCTTATTTTTTTAGTGGATAAGGGCGAAAGTATCCTCCCTTTAAAGTCGGAATTCCGCTAATGAAATAGACATTTTTTAATTCTCTCAGGGAATGTACTCACCCGTGCTTTGCCGAAGGGGACAAAAGTCAAATCAATTTTGTCTGCAATTTTGCTGTATTGCTGGCCGAGAATACTGCGAACGAAATACCTGCTGTCCGGGCACAGTGATTCGTAGTAAACAGTCACCGGCACCTGTGTACACCAAGTTGAAAATTGAAAACTAGAAAAAGAGTTGGGCCACTCAAACCAATAACACAAACAAGCAGACAAACAAAAGATGACAGACAAGACTATCCTCATTTAAGCCCTTAAAATCCGTAATTAAATCAGCTGATACTCCACGATCTTATGAGTAAACTTCTATGGCACTTAGATTTAGGACGGCAATTTCGTATTTGGCCCGTATTTGTTGCGGATGTCTTGTGAAAGTTTAGCCATGATCCAATTGATTGAGTGAGTAGAATTGACAACATGGATAATCATATGTTTCCTATGGTTCTAACTTTTACCCAAATTTCTCATCTTTTTACTGAATAAAAGCCCATTTTTAAAACTTCCACGGTGGATTGAAGATTTCCAGTAAAAAGAATATAAGAGGGTGTAAGGATCGCTTTTATCAACCCTTTAAGCCCTGTTGACTTAAAAGTCACTACTGTTTTGGAGCTCATTAAACAAGTAAATCTTAGAATTTGAGGCAGGTAATTTCCTAGACTACGACGTAAATAGCCATAGCTGCCAATTGTCGTATTAAATTAACTAACTAAATTAGTAATTATTCTTCTATTCACATTCACTAAAGACGTATTTGTACATGATATCATAATTAATTATTATGCAGCAGCAGCAAACTGTAAGACCGCTATAATAGTTAATGCGCAAAAACATTTGAGTGACCGTTCGGGAAAAATTAAGTTAGGTACTGATAATTAAAAAAAAATAGTATCTCGCAAAAGAAATGAAATTTAATGATTTATTTTCTACTCTTACGACTTATCAGGTACGATTTGGGGGGGAGGGGCAGATGACCCTATGTGTAGTGACTTTGAAACTTGATACCTATTTCCTGAAAACTATACAGGAATTTCAAAAAGCAAAAACAACAAAATTACGCAGGAATCTCTTCAAATATTGAAGCCTCTCTGTAAAAATTGATATTTTAAATGCAAAGCTACCTATACAATCCTCCGAAGCATGTGTGCAACGAGCTAGTTAACACATTATCCATTATATTTCAATTGAATCTGACCTAATTTTAAAAACACATCTTTTGAAAATGTTCAAATTCATGCGTCTAATAATTTTGAAGATTTTATTTAATTTTTTTCACTTTTGATTTATTTTTGGTTTAATCTATGTTTGAAGACTTGATGTTGTTTCCCTTCCTCTCTCTTTCTTCCTTCCAATGTTTACCACATTCTACCTCTCTCGCCCCCCCAGTTCTGATAAGAGCTTGAAAAAAGCTCCTCTCTCGAATTTTGTGGCCTGCTCCTTATGTTCCAATCATTCTGAATTCTTTCTCTTTCTCCAATAAGGCCGATTCAAAAGTCGACCTCTCCTTTTATTTTTGATAAAAAACATTTTTCTTTTGCCAGAGATGCCAGTAGCCAAAATGGATGAAACAAACTCAAAAGTATGAGCTGTGCTGCCGTGCAACGCAACAACACCATAAACGCCATTTTAAAGTTTTTGGAAACAATGTATCTCAGCAGAAAAACTTGTGTACCTACCTTGAGATAATTTTTTTACAGAATTCTTTTGCAAATACTATTAAGAACTTGACCTGAAAATTTGAGGTGCATGGGTAAAAACAGTTTTTATTTTATAAAGTGTTAAGTTCCAAAAAATGCGGGAAAATCTTGATGGATTTACGGCGTTCTTGCTTAGCACGGCAGTGTACCACTACAAAATTCTTATTTCTTTGTTCAATCTACTTGATATTAAGTTGCTATGCTGGTGCCGTTAAGAATTAAAGTTAAAAATAGAGGGCTTAAGGAGCTTTTTCAGCGACAATGAACTGGAGTCAACGCACCGACACTTCAGGAGCGGGTCAAATCGCGATCCGAACGACCGGTGAACGTTGGGAGCGCGTCAATTATTTGATTAGGCATTTTGTAGATGTAGGACTCTGAAACCTCGTATCGTATAGAATTCTCAAAAACCAGTTCAACTGACGTGTCATCCAACCTTATGGCATTACCTGTTGTCAGTCTGTGCATAAAACTTTTTGATACGCTGGTGAACAAAGATTTGGCTCATACGGCATACAGTAACAGTTAGGCGAGCTCAGAACGTTTCTTTGTCCCAGAATTGGATTAAAGATGTTCTATGGAGGTAAGAACGAGGGGCTCCAACAGAGCTGCTCTGCTATGACGCTTACGGATCATACCGGAAAAATTGTGATCATGTACGTTGCCACTCAATTCCTTTTCGACCTTATGAAGAGTACGTTCTACTGCAAATTAGAGTACCTATATTGAGAGAGTATGGTATGGCCACTGGGCCCCATGGAGAGGCTTAGGACCCAAAAATGGCGGTGCTTTGTTTTGGTTTTTGTGGATGGGAGGGGGGGTCATTGCCAACTTTTGACGGTTATCACCACTGCACTTGCTGCCAACCTTACTACATCTAAGATAATTTTTCTCAAAAATTGCACACGATTAGTCTTAAAAATATGTAAAGATGTCGCAATAGTGCATTTGAGTAAATTTCTCGTTACAATAAGCAAAGAAAACTATACATTTTGAGTCATTTTGCATTACATTAATTTATGGCGTCTGCCATTTTTGGGTCCTAAGGGCTCCATTTAGCCTAAGATGGCTTAGCCAATCAGAGGTGGTAACCCCAGTGGCCATACTCTCTCAATATAGGTACTCTACTGCAAATCCCCCTCCTTCCACAAGTAGCAGTGATCGCAATAAGTTGCGTCTTGATCGGACAATGTATCGCAATTTTATAGATGTTGATTTACTGCAATATTATCGGATACAAAATTACAATAAATTGCGATTTCATCGCATAAATTTGCAATGGAAGTGCAAATTATAGGTGGCGATTTATTGCAATATTATCGAACTAAAAATCTTGATAAATTAAGATAGAATCGGTATGTCATCGAACGCGATTTTAAAGAGATAAAATTGCGACAAAATCTAGGATAATCACTCAGGTGTTGATGATCCTACCATTTTAATCGCCAAAATATCGTGAAAAAATTCCGACTTACCTTCAAAAAATTGCAATTCGCTGGTTGGAAAATGCTACTTGGGTCATACATATTACATTAACCATGTCATATGGCGCAGAAGGAAACTTTTTACGGCATAATTGAAATCCGCGAATAACAAAATAGCGGGAGAAAAAAGCCTGCCGACTCCACCGCAGGTATTTATCAAAGTGCCTGAATTCGTGAAGCATCATTTTGCTCCGAGGTCAAAATTGGGGAGGGCACGCGAAGAGGCAATGTCCTTAGAAGCTAAACATTGACCTTCAAGTATGTTCCATCCACCATTTAAAATAATTCATATTTGACTGTTTTAATTATTTTCAGGGTAAGGCTTCTTAGAGGAACGGAGAAAACCTATTTACTGTGGAATGTTGTTTTGAGGATAGCTACGATCTTTAAATTTTCATCAATTGATTTTCTTTTTAAGTAGTTGTGTATAAGTGTCATTGGATAGTGGGTACTTCTTACAAACCACATAATGCATCACTTTGATTTTTAAAATCGTCCGTTGTCTAGGGGAAAAATCGGCTCTCAGATTGAACCTCTTCTGTGAAAAGCCCACATTGTGTACTTTTTTTTACTTATTATACCTATGAATCGTATTTAAAAGATTTCCAATAGATAGTATTCAAAAGATGTTGGTAATTAAATTGATCGAAATTTTGATTTGTTTTAACAAATTTGACTTTAAGAGCAATTCATATGTATACCCGACCCGACAGTGGATCACCAAAATGACAAGTGAGGAGCCAATATGCCGGAAAAATAGGTTGAGTTTTTTAAGTTTTTAAAACAAAAAGCAAAATTTGTTTATGTTTTAATTATTGAGTGATATAGAAAATATTAAATATGTTAATAAAATGAATACAATTTTTCTGCGTGCTCACATGCACAAATTGTAACATTGCGGCAAGTGAGCAGTTTAACACAGCAAGTGAGTGCCTACGCAGAGAAAATGTATTCATTTTATCATTTAACTTGTAAAGTCCACGATAAATGTTTTCAATGAAAAATATTTGAGTGGCACTGGCATAATTTATGTAACGCTTTGTTTCCCTAAAACACGATTAAACGAGATAGAAAACCCAGAAAATAGAAGGAATAAAGTAACTATTCTCGAGACGATGCTATCTGCATTGTTATCTTGTGATTTTGATGATTCATTATCCTTTTTCACCAGATAGAGCAGTGATTAAGCATGTTTGGACAGCTCAAGTTGCGTGCTAGAGCAGAGAATCTTACTTTCTTTTTTAATGGGCCAGCAGACTAAAGAATTGAGGATTTTTCCCCGGTATCATGCCTCACCGAAATTTCGCATAGAGCTATATGCACGCGATGAAAAATTGGAGAAAAATCTCTGATTTAAGTTAACTTCTGGTCTGGTTAAGGTAAACACTGACTAAATGCATATTGTTGACAAATTATTGACGTTGCCCGCTTTCGCGCTTTTTAAATGATGTCGAATTCAATGGCAGATAAACACTCGTAACTTGATTTTGAAAGTTTTCATTGCGTATTTAACTTTTGAACGTAAAACTTTGAAGATAAATATGCGGAATACATTTTTCGATGCAGTACCTAGTTGCCGTCCAAGATTATCCATTTTGGAAGCACACGGGATCTACTTGAAGAAATTCATTCAATGATTCTTCATATAAACAAAATATTAGGGTGATTTGCTAATTATAGTTCAAAATTCATGTATGAACTCTGTTTTTACCTTTAAAAATGAGTTTTGGTGTATCGGAAATGGCAGAAATCTAAATTGAAGGTAATTTTTGGCTAAAGTTTTCAGAAATTTACCCTTTTTAACATTAGAAGTAGATTTCACAACAGGAAAAAAATAGTTATGAAAGGTTTTCTACTTCTATTTCGGATTTTTTTTGGAAGCGATGACGGTGCTCGCTGGAAAAACCACAATATGACACATCAAGCGAACGGTAATTGCGTTGTGCTCCCAAAAAGATTCGAACTCTCCGATTACATACATAAGTATATATATCAAGATTTCTTTAGAGGCGATGCTATTAGCATTGGGAGGGAGTGATTTTTAGAACTTACAGTAGTGTCAGCAAATTTTTATTGCGTTTTCTTGATCATTACGTACTCTAGGGGCAATCGTTGGAATTTTTAGGTGTTTTCCGCGTTTGGTAAATGACGGAAAATTCATCCCTGTAAGCTGGGATAAAGTTTTCGCATTTTCATTTTTTGTCCCCGTACGTCAATTTCTTTTTTTTTTTTTTACTTTTCTTTAACGCCATCAAATGATTCAAAGTTATTACGAGTGAATCGAAACGACACTAACCTTTGCAAAAGTGGTGGCAACCAGCGAAAAGAGCGCCAGAGCTGGGAGCAAAAACGTGTGGGGTTCCATGGTTGGTGGCGGTGACTGATGGACTGATGAGGAGGCAGCGCTCAACAGAAGCCGCTGCGAACACTCACGGTTTGAGTGGATCTCCCACAGCGATGCCAAATTATTGTTTTTAGTATTGAAAGCTAACAAACTTTACGGTTTTGCGTCCTTAAGTTTTTGAGTCGAGTATGCTCAGCTTTTCTTCCATTAAAGCATTTCTTCTTTATGATATTACTTTAAGGTTTGCATAGAGGAAAAGGAAGTGAGTCACAAAGGAGATTTGTTCAAGTGGGCAAGATTTGTCTTATAATAACCAGGAGCGTTTGAAGAAGAGTTCTCACATAATGTTGAACTGTAGCTTTTTCTTGGTTCAATCCCTCACCGGAAGAATCTTAAACAATTTGGACCTTCTTTCCTTCTTTATCAATTATTAAAACTTACATGATTTAGAAAGATGCTGAGCTAATAGTCTCCCACTTTTCTTTTCCTGAATAGTCTTCACACAACAATGGTGAAACAAGAAAACGCGTGGTTTCATGTCTTGTTATACGTTCCCTGCCACATTTTATTTTGAACAATCATACGCTTTTTATTCGTCGGTTTTTGCATGTTTCTCACACTACTTAAAATTTCCCTTCCTTAAAATTTAAAATAAAAAAGAGAGGATTGAAAAAGTACAATTGAGTGTGGACATTTTTTAACACTGCAATCCAAAGCGTGTTTACTTTCCTTTAAATTTGCCATCAAACAGATTCTACTCGACCTTAATCCCTGAAAATTCGAAGCCTGGAGCATGGATGTGCCTAAACCATCTGATGTCTGAGGACACTAAAACTTGGCTGTCGATGGCTATAGATCCTAACGGAATATAAGCCAATAAGCCAGCAGAAAAAAAAATTGTCATCGCACTGAAAAAAAATCTCGGTGTATTTACTAAGAAAAGGGTAAAATTACCAAGAATTCATGGTTCCATTTGATCCCAGTTTTTTCTTGGTAAAATTACCATTTATAGAATTGGTAATTTTACCGAGACATCGCGGTAAAATTATTGAAATTTCTCAGTAATTTTACTGGACCTTCGTAAAAACGCCAATATTTTTTATCGGCTGTGGTAGAATTACCGAGATAAAATGGCAAAGTTACCGGGAATTGATTACCGATAAAAGTGGTATTCTTACCTGAAAACACAGTAAAAATACCGGTTTTTAGGTAAGCTTACCAGTCTGTCTTGGTAAAATTACCAATAATTGGTAAAAAAAGTGAGATGGTAAAGGTACCAACGGACCTTGGTAAAAACGCCGAGAATTTTTTTTCAGTGGGGTATAATTTTAGAGTGATTTTTTTCTCACTCTGAAGTTCAAGAACAAGATCGCGGATCCGATCAGTATTTTTCCCTCGTGCGAAATCTTCGTGAAAGACAACACTGCCATGGAATGACAGTCAACCAGTTCTCAGACTAAAAATTACAATGGAGGTCGCCAGTGAGGTTACGTGTGTCCAGGTAAATGTCAAGAGAAGTAGAAATTAATAAATCCGCCGCGACGCATTGTCGGGTGCCAAGTTGAAGTGGAAAAACCGCGCATCTCCTCTCGGAACCACGTGAATACGGGGTGTTTTTCGCCGGGGCGGCAACCTCGGTCCGCGACGCGAGACGATAACGAGATGAAGGCGTGGCCAGCGAAGCAGCGCCCGCTGAGTGCGTTTTGTTGATGATCGGAGATCGAACAGACTGAGGACAATTCAGTCCAAACCAGTTGGTCCTGAAGAGAGATAGCGAACTGCAGAAAACTGACAACGATGGACCTCTGATGAAAAAAACCCAAATTATTCGGCCCGAAATGATAATACAAAATCTACTTAAAATTAAACCGACGCCGCCAAAATAAAAACGTAAAGTAAGAAACCCGGAACGTTTCTTGGTGTCACACCAAAAAAAAAAGTTGCTGTACTAACACCACCACGGATGTTAAAACAATGTGCGACAACTATTGGAAGTTGTCATTAACACCCTAGTGTTAAAGTCCTAACACCTAACATGCTAGAATGTTACTATGACATCAGAGTGTTCATGAAAACATTCAAAAGTTGTCGCACATTTTTTTAACATCTTTTTTTTTTCGGTGACAACCGCATTTTTAACCGACAAAAAAAGTAAATTAAAAAGAAACACACTGCGCCTCACCGCTGTTACTGGGAAACATTTTAGTCTGTCTTTGCCGGTTGAAAATTCTGTTATGATACCGCGAAGCGTCCCGGAAAAGTTTAAAATCACGCTCTTACCCTTCTTGACAAAAACAAAAGCGTTGAATCTGAGAGATTACCTGGACACGGATTACAGAGAGCGCCTATATTTTGTCAAAACGTCACACGAGATCTTTCCATAAATTATCTGGTTAGTAAACATTGAATTTTCCAGCTTCCATTCGCTTGGAAAAATGAGAAGAGTGTAACACAATCAAAGTGATCTTACATTCATCATCCGAGGATAAGTATTGTTCCCCTGCAAGAAGTGCGCTCTTGCCTAGCGAAGTCGAACATGAAGTTTGCAGCTAAAACTGACAAATTTTGATGTTTGATTCGTCTGAAGGGCCGGTAGATGAGGGGCAATTAGGGATATTTAATGATGGGAAAGTTAACAGAAGGCACGAAAATCTCCACGACCCTTCGAGGATTGCAGGCTCGCATTGTGCACTGGCTGGATATTGTGTCCACCGCATCGCGGGTGGTGGGTCTGGTCTCTGGTCTACACGGAAAAATTACGAAGATTAAAGCGCGCACTGTGCTGTACATGCAATGTATGAAGTATTCGTTCAGTCTTGTAGGCGCTGATATGCGCTCGAAGCCGACCGCACAAATTGGCGCAATGCGAGAAGTATTCGACAGTCTTGCAGGCGCTATGCGTTTAACGCCGCGCCGGCCGCACTGTGTTTGGCGCGTTTATTCAAACTCGTGTTCGAATAATCCCGGCATCGAATAATGGGGCTTACGAAGCCCATGTTGTGTTTCGACGCCGTATGAGCATTCCAATGTTCCCTCGTTTCCCCTGATAAAATATTTTGTCAGAGAAAAGTTAGGAGAGTTCTGTGCGTTCACTTTTTTAGATTAAATGGACCATTAAACAAGATACGAAGTTAAGCACTCCGATACAAGATACTTCACCAGAATTCTACGTAGAACACAGTTCGCGCAACGAAAACTACTAAAATTAATTCCTAGCTAAGATATTAACATTTTTATTATGCATCGGTCACGGGACATTCGAATTGCCCAGTTACGAGAAAAACAACACCCTACGCGGATCAAATCGCGCACTACCACGGTTCCAGCAAACTACTCAATCAAGCATTGTTTCTTTCCCACCCTGTATTTTTGAAAATGCGTACAGCTTGCTATACCTGAGCCAAAGCGTCATGATTCAAGTTGCCGTATTTTCACATTGCTGAGACTGTCATAGTAACTTTTAACGTCTCTCTTGACCCAAGTGAAGTATTCTTTCTTCCATGAGCGGAAAGTTTGAATTTATATCCATGAAAAACGTTATTACCACGATTAGGAGTTCATCTAGGGTTGGGATTTCGATTTCTCGACGTCGAGCGTTCGAAATCCTCGTTGCCTATTGGTGTTTCACTTAATACACGCGTTTTACTCATGGGTGTATCTGCCGCTTCAGACCTAAAACGTACGCGGATACGTGGATTTGCAATTTGGTCATCGACTTGTTAGTATCTCGTTTAAAAGTTGATCTCCGGACTTCCCGTTGTGTGAATAGTTTTTTACGTAAAATTCTGAGGAGAAGACAAGTGACGTTTATTTCTACACTGGAAAAAAAACACATTAGATCATGAGTCCAGACTCTCGAAAACATTGACAAGAAAAAATACTCCTGATTCAATCAGATTTAAGCTTAAATCAAAAGGAAATCCGCTCAAATTAAGAGGATTGGTTCTTGATTTAAGCAAAAATCCGATTGAATCAAGAGTATTTTTTCTTGTCGATGTTTTTAAGAGTCTGGACTCTAGATCCAATGTGTTTTTAGTGCAGCTACAAAAATGCCAAAAATCACATGAAATATTGTTGTGCGCAGGACTTCTCATTTGCATCTGCGTATCACATGACCTCGCAGCGCACCAATAGCTGCAAGGTTCGGCTGCTTACAGAGGGGTTTGTTGTTGCTACCGACTAGGCTCGTTGTCATGGTATCGGATTGTTTTGATATTGTTCGGCAGGGTCTTAATTTAGTGGAATTGTTTTCTTTCTTGGGCGCACATGCCGCTTTTTTAAATACTCTCACTTCAGCTTTGGGACCGGATCAAAATTTCGTTTTTCGCAGGTTGGTTCAGTCGTTGTATACTTAAACGCTATCTGCACGTCACTATCACAGCGATCAAGTAGCACATGCTTACATGGTGGGAGAAGTTAGCACAAAAAAGCTACGAACTTCATTTAATTTATCTGGAGGATACGAGCAAATAATGTTCGTGCAAATGACAAGATGACTTATATACGTCAATGATAATGAAGTTCCTGTTGAGTCATACTGCTCAAGGGCTATTATTATCAAGGGGAAAAATAATAAAAAGTGACCTCACATTATGAACTCCAAAAACTCCACATGTGTATTTATAGGTACCTATTATGTGGGAATTGTGGGTTTATTAAATTGCATTTTCCATTAAGAAGGATTTTCTAAGTTGTTGGCAGTTTTAAAAATGAGGGATTATTTGATAGTTTGCCTTTCACAATAGACGAATCAGAATTTTTTTTCTCGTCACTTCCCTTGAAAAATAGTAAAATTAACGTCTTGAGAAAAATATAGTTTTATTTTCAATTGCATGTGTTATGCTTTTCTTGGTGGAAATTGTATAACCTTATTGAAGAACGGTTATTCCTTAAATGAAGCTTGCGCATCTCTCAAATGAGTATTGAGTAAAGCCTTTCTTATATTGTACTCAGATGATGAATGTAAAATGATTGTATGCGTTATCAGTTGCAGAGCCGGGCATGTCCTCGCCAGATCTGGTGGGAGTTTGGCAGGTGCCTTTGAGCAGCGGGGTTCGAACTATAGAATTTGAGCACGGCACAGCAACCGGGAAACGTATAGTTCGAGTTGATGGAAAAGTAAGAAATTCCTTATAATAATGGAACAAACGGAGACAGATCACGCATTATACCGAGGCATTAAATGTTTAGATACATGACAAGACAACCTTTAAATTTTGGGGTCCATGGGTCCCAGATGTAGGCCGACTAAATAAGAAGTTCACACTTCCTTCGTTGGACCTTGTTTTTACGTAATTGCAGATAAAAATGTATTTCATTTAACCGTTACCTCCCGTCACTCATCTGCTTTTTGACAGGAAATTAAGTTGTCAAAAATTAACCTGTAAGTATCTGTACTAATAGCCAATAGGGCTCATTTGCTTCACGCTGTTGGTCCTTACCGCCTGAATTTCACAAGATAGGCAAAAGTGGCCACACAAGAGCAGTAATAGTGGTATCTATAAATCACGTGTAGTTAAAGGCATTCACCTCATGGAGCAACGAACGACCAACTAAGAGGAGTGAGAGTAATTCACACTTTTTTTCAAAATCTTACGCGAAAATAAAACTTGATTCTTGGCATAAATTACTGAAAGATTTACACATCGCGCTCCTCGCGCCTTACGCCGCGACGCTCTGGAGGACCTAAATTAATTGAATTTGATCCTCACGACTAATGGAGAATTTCTTACACGAGCACAGGATTTGCGATTGACGCTACTATTACATGAATAATGACGGCCTTAGATAATTACAGCTCTGTAATTATGGAGCTGGATTAAAATTACTGAGATGGACTCTCCTAAATTCCATACTTTTAAATACTGTATACAACACCATCACAGCCTGAACTTGGAGAGTTTTTTTCCGGCTAAGGAATTCATTTTCGGTAAAACCAGTGTAGCGTATCGCGGCATTAGTCGACTAAATCGCATGTATACCTACAGTTCTCGTTGGAACTCCATTGAGTATTTATGAGTTTGACATTCAGTGCATGAAAATGTTAAGTGCATTTTTTGCGATTTTGAGAGAATTGAGAGCCAAGATAAAATATCGTATGATTTTTCACGAAAAGATATCTGTACAGTGATTTACGGCGATTGTATCTCAATTTATTTGTCACCTGTTTCGTTTTTTCATACGGCTCATCCCATTTTCCGATTACTCAAAATTGAATTGAGCATAATTTTTTGTTGATCAACTTTTTTTCAACTTCAATTTTGACACTTTGCGAGCGCAAAAGGTACTTTTTTACACGCTGGAAGGTTTCCTTTAATTTACCCTGTAAAATGACAAACTATCCTAGGAAAACGCATAGGTACCTAGTTGTCATTTCGAAAAACACCATAAGTTTTGATTGATTAAGGGCGGTTCAGGGCTCTGATCGTGGATTCGGCCCATTTAAAGTTAGCCTTCAATTTTGACGGGTAGGCAACAAACCTACTAAATGCCATGAAAACTATTCATCTCGTTCCATGCTTTCATTTGACCAATTCACATTTAGTATCGTCTACTTGAAGTTCGCCTTCAATACACCAAGATAGGCAACCCCGAGCGCGAATAGCCATACATTCATAAAATATACAACCAGCACTAGTCCCGATTTGGAAGAGAAGAATGCCTAGCATCCCTCATTTGTGACTTTATTTCGCTTACAAGTTGTAGTTTTAGCCTTTTCACCACGTTCATACTTTTTTTCAGGAGATAATTCGGAAAGATTGGATGTTCAAACTGGTTGGGGACGAAGCATTTGACTTGGACGGGACTCGGTGTATTATAAGGGTGGAACCGTATGGCACCTTCTCCTACTGCTACTCCTTCTTGGTCGATGGAAAGAGTCTTGCTTCCTTCACGAGGCAACAATCTAAAACGACGAGTACATGGGTTGTGAACGACGGTGACACTAATTATAGGATAGTCCTCGGTAAGTAGCATCAGAGGGTATATGAGTATGATATGGATTCCAAGCGATGATCTCAACTTGAAGACATCCCTAAAACGATTCTCTCTCGCGTTTTTGTTTGACTATTCCCAGACCACAGCCCCCAGTGTCAAGGTACGCATGCATACGAAAATTAATTCCGAGTTTTGAAAACAGTAAACTATGAAAAATATAAGGCTCCTTAAAAAAAAGTGACAAAATTTAACTATTAGTAGTTGTGAAAATTCAACTTCTTAGGTTCACCTTCATCATATGAATACTGCATTTTAAGCAGCAGTAGAGTTAAATATATGGATAGAGCTTTCTCTTCGTAAAGCGTGAGTTTTGGAAGGATGTTTGATTTTTAAGCTTCGCCTACATCAAAGCAATTGATAAAACAACACATAAATTTATTAGCCAAAAATATAAACTCCACGAGTTCATGAACGATACCGCCCCCCTTTATGCTACCTACTTATGTTTTTTCCTTTCTTTTAAGTGTTCATTTGCTCTTCTTTCATTTTATTTCTTTGGAATTTCTGTTGCAGATAAGAACACGTTAGATATCTGGGTGAATGGAAAAATTGTCGAAGTTACAGTAAGTAAAGTCTTTGAGCTTAATAGCCTACTACAACCCTAGTAAAAATTGGCGATAAGAGCTGCGTTTCAAAATACCATAGGAATTCTTATAGCCAGTTAAAAAAGGCTACAGAAAATAATATAGCTGGCTGTAGAATGCGGAGAAAATCATACGGCCGGGCTATACGAAGCGATAAAAAATTATGCAGCCGGGCCATAGTTCCTATCGCCGGGCTTTACACTTTATCGCCTGGCTGTTGCTTTTTCGCCATCGATTAAAAAGGCTATAAGAATTTGTGTAGAAATTCATGTGCTTTGGAAATCGTTAAGTTTGATACGGAATCATCTTAATATTTACAAAACACACATTATATTTTCCTTTAATACATAATTTTTTTCATCAATTAAAATGAGAATAATCCATACAGGATGTGCATTGTGCAAACATTTCAAGATCATGAGTTAAATAACGGTGTCTCCGCCAGCGGGCCGATTATTGAAATTTAAACCAGCCCGATAAGACATCGAATTGCGATATGTTGCATGGCTAAGATAGGGCTATGTCTTGTCGTGTCGGGCAGGCATAGTTTCAATAATCGCCCCGCAGATTGAATATTAGAGCCTAACACAAAGCGGAGCGGAGCGGCGACGCACTGGTGCCTACAAACCTAACAGGGATACTTCACGCATTGCGCAACGCGTGAAGTATCCCTGTTGGGTTTGTAGGCGCCAATGCGCGTTTCGTGCTGGTTGCCCGCCTGCCGCGCCTCAGCGTGTCACGGCGCTTGAAGCAACTATTTCACACCAGAGGTATTGCACAGTATCATACGAAACTGAAGGCGCTCTAATATACTAGGAATGGCAGGCATCCATCAAGAGTACGGAGATTTCCTCGTAAAATAAATCAAGATACTACGGCTCCAAAAGAGAGCAGTAGTCCAAAAACTCGCTAAGTCCTAGCATCCGTAATTAGTGGCGTTTAGCATATCGACGGTGAAAGTCGGCAATCACATAACTCGGTTTGCGACGTCGCAGACTTCCTGTCATACTTTATTTTTTAAACGGAAAACTACTTAACGGTAATTCTTTAAAACTGCCGTGATTTTTCTTCTATGTGCGAGGAAAATTCTGCAAAAACTTCAAGGAATCATGTCCATTTGTTCTCCTTTAAAAAAATAACATAGTTGCGGAGATTTTCAGACACCGCAAACGAGTTATGTGATTGCCGACTTGCACCGTCGATATACTTTATCACCTGGCTGTTGCTTAATCGCCATCGGCTATAAAAGGCTATAAGAAATTGTGTAGCCGGCTATAGAAGCTATTGGAAATCTTACAGTCGGCTGTAGGTCTATGGTATTTTGGAACACAAATCCAACTGCCAATTTTTACCAGGGAATGCTTAGAAATCTAATAATAAGTTAGTATAATCTGATAAACTATCAAAACAATTTATCGAAACAGGTGCCAAAACGAGTACCAAAACAATTTATCATAGCCACTTATTCTGAATAAACTGACAATAAGCTTACTATGATCATCGAGGGAAGGTGAAATCTAATAAAGAGAAGAGAGGAGTACTCTCTTGAGGTAGAAGGACATCCCTTCAATTTATGTATTGAAATAGCAACGTACATTTGCATTATGATGAGAGAATCCTTCTGTAAGATTAGACCCTAATATCGACGATGAAACTGCAAAAATGCGTATCCCCGTTGCGATGTTTTGAAATCTTGCCTCCTATTTTAATTTTCAAAAGAAGACCAAACCAACATCATGGCTTGAAGTTTTTACGTAATATTCTATATATCGAGAGTAACAGCAAATTCGCTGAAATTTTCAAAAAATGACGTTCAGTAATTTTTCATGTAGAAAATAAAGTATGATGGGAAGTCTGCAACACTGCAAACCGAGATACGCATTTCTGCAGTTTCACCATTGATATCCACTTGAATCTTTAGAATTTCAAGAAGAAATCAGAAATTTTATAGAATTTAAAATTTTCATAGATTTACTTGTTACAAACACACCAACTTTCAAAGCCTTCACTTCATATTGTCATGATTCATCAATCAACAGGGGCTCTTTAGTCCTCAGGTAATTATACTTGCATATTGTCATTTTAACAAAACGGACAGCAGTTCCATGCAAGAATCGTTTTTACAGGAAGGTTAATGATTTTTCCGACCTGCATACAAAATAACCTAATGGATTTTTATTATGTTTTGCAGAGAAACTTCGTTGACGAAGGGACAGAGATGCATTTTCCTCTGGGCAATATTCCTGCTTATGTGAAAACTGTCTCAAGTGGGGACAAACGGGAGGGCCTGATATACACATTAATAGCAAACAATGAAATAGTTGATCCTGCCGAATGACATTCTCATAGGATTTTCTCAGTTTCTTAATTTGTTGATGACTGTCCAAAAATGGGCAACTGAGATTATATCAACAGACATGGGAACTTGAAAAACCAAATCTGAATTTATTGCGATTTACTTCAGTTGAAGAAAAGGAACTGTGCTTAGCCAGTTTTTCCAGCTAGTATCACTGCCATTTTACAATATGTGTGTGATTTTTCTTGACTGGTTCTTTCAAATTCACTAAAAATTTGATAGATACAGTATTTTGGTATTTTCCAAGAGGATTTAAATTCCAGTGAAAAATTTAGCTACAATTGAGGATTCTGTCTAGGGCTTCATTATTGATGGAGCAGATTTTGATAATGGGCACTTAAAGAATTATCCTTAAGAGTCTTGTAATATATAAGACTATGTATTGGAAAATATGGACTCAATATACAAATCAATGTATGAATTGTGAAATATTTCTCATTGATAAACTAAAAGTCATCTGTTTGTGAATTAAATACAATTAACACTTCGCTTCAGACTTAATACTGGGTTGCAAGCTTGGACGGAACTTCCAACTTGCATATTGCAGGAGGTGTGCCTGGTGGATGGCGCACATACGACATGAATTTGATTTATTGCCATAAGTTTCAGCGAGTTTATACCATTTTTGAAGTTAGACATACAATTTTAGATGGTGAAATATTCTCTATGAAATCTGGAAATCCAAGTAGAAAATATTTCAAGAAATTCTGAAATTACACCTCTGTGATGACGCACTATTTGTGTACTGTTGTTAATAAACAATCAATCATTGATACTCTTTTCTTGTCTTGTTTTTTAAGATCTTAACCGTTTGCCCACTCGGCAAGAGGTTGAGAAAATGTTACCTTGACATAAGTGACAAAAACAACACTGTGGCAACGTTTTTGCAAATCCTACTAAAACCACTTGCCCGGCTGGTTTCATTGAAAATGTATAGTATAGATGTAATGTAAAATTACCTTGGATGATAAGGCTTCCTGAGAAATATATAAATTCAAATTTTCTCCTTTCAAGCATCTTACGATTACAAGATATGGATAAAAGATTACAAGATTCTTTGAAGATACCATTAATTGACCCTAAAAGAAAAGTAACCCAAGTATTTCTTGCTTTGACGATTTGAGGCTAGGTGCCAACATGTTACAGGCAAATCTGAAGTAACTTATTAGCAAATGATTCTTTCCTCTGAAACCTGGGCACACCTTGCAGAAAATTTTGAAAAAAAGAAAGAACATACAAAGTCAAATGAATGATGAACTCCTGCTATCCATAAAACACATTCATAAATTATTAATTTTTGCTAGATGCAAAGCCAAGATGATCAGATTAAAATCTCCTTTAACCAGAATAAAATCATGAACTTCACCCAGATAAAAAAAAGAGGAAAATCGAAAGAAAAAAAAAATTTAAAAAATGTGCGTCCTTATCACACATCATTAGTATATTAAAAAAGGTAAAACATCAAACATAACATGAAAAAAAAGCGTAACTCATTATTATACAACAAAAATTAATTACAAAATTCGGAATGGTCTAAACTCTTTAAACTCTGACTGACACTGCTCATGATTTTTTTATACAAAGTTCTAAGTTTTACTTAGCTAATTTTGTATCTTCTTTTTTATCTTTTTTTTCACAGAAAAGAAATATTCATTTGCACATGATTGTTTAGTCGTATTTAACAAACTTCACTATATTCTGTTTTGGTAAGAGAAGCTTTAATTAGTATTGTGCAAGTTTTTATTCGACGAATGTAGAATGTTCATTAATTTTAAATCATTGAGCACAGGTCAATCAATACTTAAGCTTAATTTCCAGGATCAAAATGAGTCATCTTTGTGACCATTTATCAAAATGAAGAGGCAACGTTACTTTTTGTTCGACATGATTTGCGAACAGATTATAAAATAAATATCTTCTGATGCTCGATCTGATAGCAATTTATGATGATCAAAACTTGAGGATATCTCTTAATTCTAATAGGCAACCGTTAACAGTCACAACTAACAAACTATGTTTGTCATCCTGTCATTGTAAACCATACTATGATTTACATTTCAATTTCATTACTTCAAACATGTCTCTATATGTAACGAATCAGCAAGGGACCAAACCATTTTCTGTTATGGAGAAATTTTACTTATAACGAACCAAGCTCAATGAGCATAGTAAATTCCGTGAACCTAACAATTCCTTCAATATGGATTAATTGTTGCTAATGGATCTTTTTGGAGAGAGAGAGTACAGAACCCTAGAGTTCCTTCATTATGGGTCTTTTTGGAGAGAGAGAGAGAGAGAGTACTGCACTATCTAAATTTCATTTGAGGCCTTTGAGAGAAAAGTATTTTGTGTCATTTTGAAGTTCACTTTGAGGCTATACCAAATTTTCTTGTAATGGCAAGAGCAAAGCAAATGGTTACAAAGTACTTCTGATTGAACAGTTTTTTGCTCGATAAAATATTCTGTGCTACCCATAGAGCATGGTTTCCAAAGGAAGCAACAGCTGATATTTGGCGTGACAAAAATGTATACTGCTTGCAGATGAAAAATTAGAAGATTTGTAACTTATTCTTTAGGGCTGCAAGCATGCAACCAAATAATGCGAACCATAGCTAAGCAGGTTCATGTGGCTATCATAAACTGTTTTTCAGATAAAAGGATTCAAAGAATTCTACATCAAAAACTCCTTCTCTTAGAAATAGAAAAAATAAATAATGCAGGAACAAACTTCTGGTAAGTCTTTTTTGAAAACTTACCTCCTCTTATTACAAACAAAAGAGGTCTGAAAGAGTTAAGAAATTAGCAGAGATCAAACAATGTTTGTTGGGGGCTGTTGCTGTGGTGAGTTCAGGCCTTGATTTTGATTTGCAGACATAGATGAGACTACCTGCAAGAGAAGACAAAAAAAACGACGGATTAGTTATAAGTGGAGATATGTAACTTAGTATTAGACTGAAATCATTTTCATCTATTATTAATCAAAATAAAGTGATGAGTCACAGAAAATCTGTGAAAAACACAAGATAGAGGCACTATTTCAGCTTTTCTTGAGATTTTATCTTAGGAACATCTCATGAAAAATTGAATACCTGAACCTAAATCATTCGTGTTTTTGCCACTTCCTGATTTCTTGTTACAACACAACCATGTGAATGTTCCTCCCGACTGAAACCCTCAGAACTCAGGGTTACTATCAGTGACGTAGTGAAAAAAACTTGTACATACATGATTTCAATAAAAACGCATGGAAATTAGGGAAAAACATGGAAGTTTAGAGCACCACTCAACTTTTAAGTTAAGACCAAGATGAAGAAATGTACCTCTGTGTTAAAATTTTCAAAACGTAAACCCTGGAATGAGTTTTAAAATAATATAAAAACAATTTACACAGCGGGTAACGAGGCTAATTTTCACGAATATAACCAAAACGTTTTGGCTGAAAACTCAGCCTTCCTCGGTTGGATGCAATAGTAAAAAAGATTTCAAAATGTAAAAATGTAGTACTTGGCTGTACCTTTCAAAGCAAGAACAATGTTGTTACCTAATGTTGTTGTACAATCAGTTTTAAAACCTGCTACCTATTCTGATTTATAAAACCGTTATTTATTCATGATGCGGCAGAAAAGGAAAGAAAAACAAGTGAGCTTAAAACATAGTCAGTAGGGGATTTGGCCAATAGGCACATGTTTTCTGAGAACATTTTCCGGGTATTTCTTCTTCTCCTTCTTCCACTAACAACTAGGGCATAGCCCTGTTTGTCAGGTCATCCAGTATTGAGCACAATAAAATATATAAATATTAAAAATCTAAAAATTACTAAAAATTAAGGACTCGTCAAATCTATTAAAACAGCATAAATCTTCCATCATCCTCAGAAGAAGACAGCCAGCTTTGTGCCCATCTCTTAGGCGGTTGTCCAGGTACCTAATCTTTTCCCTAAGGGTTTTCTGGTCATACAAATTTTTGCTAGTCTTTCTTCATCCATTCGGTCGACATGCTCCAACCACATCCTTCTCTTCACACTGTTCCACTTGCCTACATCTTGCACCCCAAGAGCTCCCTGCTGGATATTTTTTTTTTAAAAAGAAAATAAGTCCCTACTGGCCAAAACAACTGCATATGTCAACATGCACTCGATTTGCCTAGGTTAAGCAGGACTTAGAGCTCTTACTTTTTAAAATATTTCCTAAGTTTTCTGTGAATTTATACAAAATTGGCTTACGACCGCACTTGGGTTTGGTATTTTCGGTGCTCATGTCTCTATACTACCTCTGAAGCCCACACTTCATGGAACTACATGCTTTCTCGAGAGACTTTTAATTTGAATGAACTTTTGACCAAAACAAGAAAATGAACAAGCACAAAATTGAAAAACCAGGACTTACACTCTGAAAAAGGTGCTTCTTGAAAATATTGGACGTGAATGATGAAACAGATGATGCTAATGGCTGCTCATTTGAACCAGATCGACATCTTACATATCCATACAAATTTGCTGCATTTAAAGTCAAAGCAATGAAGACTACGAGCTGAAATCATATAAAAAAAGAAAATTAAAATAAAGATTGCTTCAAAATGGAGCTATAATTTTCTTTAAAAAAAGGAGATTTACAATGATGAGGGATTTCTTTACAGAAATTTTGAGCGATGCTAATGAGGATATTTCCTTTCTTAATCATCAGTGATCAGTTTTCTCTCGTTTTTCGATGTCTGTTGCATAACGTACCTTGTTTATTCTGTTATCACTGCAGTCTCATTTCAATACCAATTTCACCATGTAACGCCGTTTGCCGGTTTTTATTTTAATTTATTTTTTATTTTTAATTCTACTTTAGCAGTTGATAATGGTGCAGTAAGGTAACAAAACGTCCTGCCTTTGTATTTTGTATTTTGTATTTTAGCCTTGTTTCCGCATCTTCCTGTGTTTTCGATTGAAGATATTTCCTATACAAGGTTTTGCAAACTTAAAATTGATACAGAGCTTGATTGATTTAATTTTTGTAATGAACGGAGATAACCAGTAGAAAACAACTTGAGCACAAAAAAATTACAACTGAAAATCGCCTTAGGTAAAAAGAGTGAATAAAGACTTTTAAAGTTCCGAGTGGTAATACTGTCAATTTTGTAACCATTGTTTGATTCAGCAGGTGTTTTTCTCCTTTCCTTCTCTTTTTGCATATTAGAACAATCGACTTACAAATTTAGTGGAAAAGCTGGAGAAAAACAAAAGGTTCTCACCAGCCATTTAAATTTAAAACTCAAGAAAGCAGCTATGAAGAGAAAGCCCCAAAGAATTGTAATTCCAATCAGCGAGCTCCAAAATATGCGAGACTCTGTCGGATTGATTCTTGAGTTATTCTGAAATGGAAAAAAGCATATTTATGACTCAAAAACAGTTTTATGTTTAATCAAAATAAGATGAAACAGCAGAGAAAATGCTCACAACTAGACCGTGCTAATAGAGCGGAGACATGGTATGTTGAGACAAATGTCAATCTTTAATTATCTCCGAATCAGCACCACTCAAAAGGTTAATACATGCAGTCGGATGGCACCACTTATGAGTGGTGACCTACATAATACTTGACTTTTGTCTCAACATACGATGCCTCTGCTGTACTAAGAGATTAAAACTGATTCAATGGGACTGTGATAGAAATGCCTTGAAAAATAGATGTTACTAAAGTGACATCCGGCTAAGGTCACGATTGGAAGCTGGAAAAATCCAAAACAAACTTCAAGACTTGCTGCTTGAGATGCTATAAGCAGTATAGACCCATGTTTTCAACCACTGCGGTTCTCAAGTGAAAAATACAGATGATAATGCCATTACTGAATGACATGTATGTAAGTCATAATCAAAATATCACAGAATATTCTTGTTCCCATAATTTTTAAAGTTAATTCAACCATGCTCGGAATAGAGGGCAAGAGCAGAAAACAAGTCACAAATCTCCATAATTTCACCTTTGGTACAGCACAATACTACAATAAGGAGTTTGTTCTACAACGTGAACAATCAAGAGGGAAATGAACAAGAGGAGGAATGATTCTCTGATGAAAAAATCTCTATGACATCTTCCTCTTTCAGCAAAACATTTATGTGGCAGTTACGATAAAGTTACAGTTAAAAACCTTGAGAGGGCATATTATCACCTTTCTAGCTTCAAAGACCCAATGAGAGACTCCTTCATCGTCTACATAGTTCCACCATCGCAAGCCGACCATTATTCGACCTGAAAAATGAAAAGAACACAAAATAAGAGGCACTTTGGGAAAAAATCAGAAAAAGGCAAATTGGTATGTTACAAAAATAAAAAAAGATTTTGTGGACATTCACATAAGCATTAACGAAGTCTTAGACAATTGGAGCATAAACCTGATGTCTTGAGACGCTTTCCTTGTTGTGGGACTTGTTGAATTTATGCGATTGGAAACAAACTTTATAGATTTATTATTCTGTTTTTTTTTTTTTTTTTTTTTTTTTTTTTAAAAAAAACGAAAAAAACAGTAGAACTCTTTGAATTACTGAGTGATTTAACCAAAAAATTGGAATTTTTTAAGCAATAAATTTTATTGTCTGGCCTCACTAGGTTATTTTCTTTTTATTTGTACAGTTATTGAATTTTGGTCCAGAAATAAGTGACTTTAGATGGTGAAATATGACACAAGAAGCTTCATTTACAGTTTCGGAATATTTCAGAGAAATCTACTGAAATATGCCTGTCTGTAACTACTGGCCTCAAATTCCTCCAAAACATGACAAGCAGGCATCTGCCCATTTACTATAAAACTGAAGCTTTTGGGAGCAAAAAATTGCCGATGTCAATTAATTTCTCAAGTACACTTTGAAACACCTCCCTAAAAATTCTCCAACTTTGCAATGATAAAATGTTTCCTGTTTAAACTTGCCTCCTTTGACCTAAAAAATCTCTGCAAGTCAGTGAGAAGCAATACTACCTACATGATTAACAAAACCATATACGAACCTGTGATATTTTTTACTGTCCAGAAATCCATTGATAGGAGGAGAACTATAAGGACAAAACTTGCGATGAAGCCACTTGTGAAAGCACTGCTGAAAATATACACGATCACTGCCGAACATCTGAAGGCTAGGTGAAAAAACGTAACATAAGGATGTCTGAAAATGAAGAAAATTAAATTAAGATTGATCAAAATTAAATTCATTAAGTTACTTTCTCTGCAAGAACTAAATAATGAGAAGCAACTGGCTTCAATCTTTTTGTATTATCAAGCTAATGATTGGACAACAGAAGCTGCTGGACGGATGCGTCTCAGTTTGCGGCTTGGCAGACCTAATATACATGATTTTTTATGTGGAACACTACTATACCTCTTTCCTTGAAAACTTCGGTGAGTATTTTCCTCTAAGTGAGGAATATTCCATTAAGATTTCAATCCATAATGTAAGTTGGGTCTCTTTTTGAAAAATAATATCGGAGCAGAGATTACACCAAACCCAGGATGCACATTTTTGTAGTTTCTCCACTGATATGCTTGAGAGCAGATACAATTTCTCTAAACCGTATGAGCTGACAAAAATGTCAAATCACAGCATAGAAAAACATCAGATAAGTACTGTGTGCTTCCAAATGAAATATTTTGTCAATCTTTTCATTTATTTTCTGCTGATTTGAGGATTATCATGTCTTACTGCAATTTTCATTCATAGTGATACACTATATGGCGACCACTTTTATCTGAGGGACAACAATAGAATCTATACAGCGAGATCTTCAAGTCTTTTCGGGTGGTCTATGGTAAATGGTTCACCGACCGTTTCTAACAAACTATATAAAATATTGAGAGATTAATCGTTCTGCTCCTGAATCAGATTCGATTAGTACTCTGGTTGGCAAGAAAAAAATTACTCACGGAAGTTTGCCTTGCTTCAAGTTATCTTCCTCCCCAAAGGGAATGGTATCGTCATCTATCATTGTGATCTAAAAATAAAGATACATTACTGAAACATCAAATCAGACCTACTGCAAAACTTGCAGAGAATAATTTCATAATAATAAAAGTTGCTCTGATAAGCTTCAAAAAAAAAATAATGAAGTGATGCTACACATAAATCATTGCAAATTTAAGGAGAGAAATTGAAACACTCAAATATTTAAGGAAATAATATGCCCTAATGTGCGATTACACATCAATTGATAATTTCTGACAATGAAAATAGATGCAAGGATAGGCAATTCATATTCACCAGATGGTAAAAAAATTGAGCCTTAAAATTTGCACGGATTACTAGTCAATATTGTCGCATTTAAAATTCTCCAACCATCAGTAATTAGATGACAGGAAATGCACTGCTCATGCTATCTCATACCTTAACACCTGACGCAACATGATTCTGCACATGTGATATTTTGCTGCACAGCGCAGTAAGGATAGGAATGTCATTTAAGATTGAAGGCACGTAATCATTGATGTAAAGATAGTACGGCTGGTTTTTGTCTCATGCACGGTCAAGACTGACACACAATGTTGATTACATTTCTATTTGTCCACTATTTTGCAGACTCATGACACACAGCAGGTTCAGGCTTAGCTACGAAATTTAAAAGTACAAGTAATGTGCCCGATGCCATGGGACATCAAGATGGTTAGAAATGCAACCACCGAGGAATACCGTGCCTGCCTTGACGCCCAGTGAATCTTAAGGCCAATGCACAACTGATAAGTCTACAGAGTCTTGGATTTCCTGACAGCTAAGATGAAGTTCATGAGGTAACATTGAAAAACCTTTAAGACGAATTATAAAGGTAGAAGCTTCAACCTCAATAGGCTCTGCTTAGGAGAAAAACAATTGCTCAAGCAATTGCGGGTTGGTTTGTAATAAGAGTGCCAATACCGTAAACAATGCACTGACCGATTAAACTTGAGTATCAGAAGAATTCATTACCTGCTCTACTTCTGGACGCTCGCGTTCAAATACAATTCAAAGGGAAAATAACACGTTTTGAGGAGATGAGGTTGTGGTAAAGTGTTGATCTTGGGGATCAATACATACATACACTGGCATCAACAGAGTTATATCACTTCACTACGGATATGATATATTTAGAAAGGGCAGTGCCAAAATGAAATACTCGATTAGTCAATTTGCGCTTAATTTACACTAATTTTCACTGCAAAACAGTAATCTGACACAATATTCATTGATAAGGAAGCCACATCGTTTGTAAACAAATAGAGAATATTAGAGGTTAGAAAGTAACTAAGAAAATAAAGATGTATAGGCCGTGGAAAGTTCCATCGGAAATGGTGCTGCTATCTGGCGGAAAAAGTGATGAACTACATGCGCGATTAAATGCAGTGATGCAATGTTTATGATTCAATCTGTTTTTTTTTCCCCCAATACAAATACAGTTTTCTCTAGGTACTCACGTTTTTTCTGGTCAGCGAAACTTTACATTTTACTGAAATACAACTGCTCTATAAATGAACGTAAGTATTTTCTTTTGTACATATTAGTGTTTGAAAATCAAATCTAAAAAAAAAAAAAAAAAAAAAAAAAAAACACTTGCATCTGCAGGGTGAAATATTATCTGTCTGCCTTCATTTAAGTCATATTTAAGTATGTAATCATAATAATAGAAACTAGACGCAGCCCACTTTTCAGAAAGAAAGAGCAGAACATATAATATGGATCGCATTCAGCAAAAAGGAACCAGCGCAATTACAATGTTGTAAAAATGTTGCTCCTTCATAATTTTCTGAAAAATATCCCAGAATAGCAAATAGATTTTGCTTTCCCCCAAAAACTTGTTAATTTTAAAAGAAAATAATTTTGTAAATTTTGATACTGTTCATATGTTAAGCACTTTTAAAATAAAAGAAGTAATTGCTCGATTTTGAAATAACACTTTAATCGCGCTGCACGTTGATTCCTTTTTGCTAACGCGATCCATGTAATTTTTATTAATATATTTACCAGACTTAATTGTGCTGTAGTGTCACCATATCACCTACATACAGAAATCATTTACCTATGAAGTAGCCTCAACGCTGGCATAGTTCGTTTACCTTTTCCGTTATGGCAGTTTTGAAAGCATAGTTTACGTACTCGTAAGACCAGTCATTCCCCTTATCTCATGTTCGAATTTTATGCGACACGTCACTCGAGTATCCCGATATGGAAAGTTGGCAGATTCGAAAACGCCTTCAATTGCGGCGTGATACCTTACGCATTCCGAAGAGTTTGAATAGTTGTATCTCTGCGCCTTACTAATGCGATGGAAGATTAATATTGAAGTAGCCTCAAGGTTGGCCTAGTCGGTTTACCTTTTCCGTTATTGCAGTTTTGAAAGCATAGTTTAAGTGCTCGTAAGATCAGTCATTCCTCTTATCTCATCCTGGAATTTTATGCGACACGTTACACAAGTATTCTGAGGTGTACTGTATGCACGGGTTGCGATGTTATACAGATTTCCTATAGCATTTGATTTTGTCGAAAGTCGAATGATTATCGTTTTTGTTCCAAATCCCATGCGATTCGTCAGCATCGTCCTTTGAAAATTTCCCATTTAAATGTCAAAATTAAGTTTTCCAAAAGGAAAGAAACAAAAAAATCCACACAAGAAAGACTATTTGAAGAAGAGTAATGGAAACTCCGTCCACCATGCTAAGAAAAACTTCTTCTTTGAAAATTCTAGGGCCGTCCACGTTGTAATACATTTAAATAATAAATTTCTCGGATTATTGACAATGTCGAGATGAATTTCAGTAATGGTTTACTTTAGGACAATGTGCAAAGCTGGAATGAAGTTAATTGACGAGAGAAACGATCAAAACTTCAGTTAGTGTCGTATGCGACGGGTACTGAACTAATTACCCTATAACGTCTGAAAGGATGCAACTATTCGCGCTCCATGGATGTCCGTGTTGCATACTCCCGAACGAGAAGGCGTTTTGACTTCAGACACTAATCGCCTCACGAGCGGCATTTACACTCAGAGGAGTGAGTCAATGAGAAGGGTCATACAAAGTATGGAAACATTAAAGACTCATGTCGATGTTAATAAGGAACTAAGAGGCTTTACAATTGGTTTCATTGATTTTCTCGTAAGGTTTCCTGAAAGAAACACCCTATGCAATTCATAATGTGAAGTAATGTTCATCAAAATTTGCAATTTTAGTCGAAAATTTCATGTCAAACCTCTCTTAAAGGCTCGTTTCAGTGTGCGGCGGGCTATACTGCGAGGGTCTCAAATGACGGAGTGCCTTCAAATCTTCCTTTATACTTCGAGGAACGAAGACATCTCTTGGACATGAATATTTGCCCTACACATCATGCTCAGCACATCGCGATATCAACTCAAAACTGAGGCACAAAAGATATTCACAACTGACGCCTGTCGCATTTTTTCGTGGCTAGGAGGTATTTTCGTGGTATAAACGAAGAATTGACAGCACTCGATGAATCCTCGCAGTAAAGTCCGCCGTTGGCGCCGCGAGTAAAGTGGCGAGTGCTTGGATAGTCAAAACGCCTTCAATTTTGCACGTATGCAACACGGACATCCGTAGAGCCCGAATAGTTGCATGTAGGAGTTAGAATGATTTTTTTTAGTGTTCGTCGTTTTTGACGCTACCTGAGGGCGCTTTGCTGCTCCTTTTACAGCGTTTTATTGTTACCTGTTGAGCTGATGAAGTCAATTGGGACTGATTTTATCACGTAATTGTCAATTTTCCGAATAAAGCTTCATTTTTTAAATATGCAACAACATAAAATGTAGGGTGCGGCCTGGCCTGGCCCCTGCCCTCTCTGATCTATAAGAACGGTAAATGCGGCGAATTTGTCTCATGGTCACTTCAGGCAATTTGAGCGCGCATCTCATGGTATTTGTTTACTCCTTTCATCGCTACAAACAGTTTGAAAAAAGTTCATTCCAGAAATTTAAATGCGGCTAGTTCCGAGTCCGAGGAGGCGTGACCGAAAGCTTGTAGAAAATATTTCTTACGTCACAGATTGTTTCAAAATCATCAACTCGAAGGTGGATCCCCGGATGGTTTCGGAAAATTGAGTCATCTCAGGAGCAATTTTGAGCTAGTCTTACCAAAAAAATCTATCGAGTTATAATTTCAAAGAAGTAAAATATATTTCACCCACAAAAATCCCTCACATTTTCCGGAAGGAACCGAGTGGATTTCGAGGGGGATTACCTAACCCCCCTTCCCTATATCCTCCCATGATGCAGGCCAGCCTGCAAGATCGCAATCCGAGATACAATGGTTTCGCAGTTTCACATCGATACGAAATCCAATCTGCATTTGTGGTTGTATTCTGTGTCTCTCTTGTTCAAATAAAATTTTCCTCTGGGGAATTTATTAAGTTTTGCACCGTGTCATCGTTCGCGGTTTCTCGCTGGAACTGAGAAAAAAGTTTAGTGTGCGGTTTTGACAGATCCGAGCGTGAACACTCAACTTTCTGACATATTTGAGGGCAACCTGCAAGAAAAGAATATATGTATACTTTGTGGTGCTCTATGTTACAGAATTTCGATTTGATGGTTGACTTGTGTATACATTAGAAAAAAATATTTATATGCCAAATACTCACGTCTAATATTAATAGATTTTATTTTTTTTAATTTTTTTTTCTTTTTTTTCTATTTTTCTTTTTTTAGCAACGGATCCGACTGACGCAGAAAAAAAGAAGTCAGACTTGTTCGTTGGATAATATGGGCATTTCCAATCAATTGCTGCAATTAGGGTGGCATTAAACGTGAGAAAAAAATGAAAGATTTGAAATATCAGTGAAATATTTCATAAAATTTCACAAGGCTGTGAAATATTTCATGAAATTTCATAGGGCTGTGAAATACTTCACAGAAATTTCGCAGGGCTGTGAAATATTTCACAGAAATTTCGCAGGGCTGTGAAATATTTCACAGATATTTCACAGGGCTGTGAAATATTTCTTAGAAATTTCACAAGGCTGTGAAATATTTCACAGAAATTTCACGGAGCCGTGAAATATTTCACAGATATTTCGCAGGGCTGTGAAATATTTCACAGAAATTTCGCAGGGCTGTGGAATGTTCCACAGAAATTTCGCAGGGCTGTGAAATATTTCACAGAAATTTCCCAGGCTGTGAAATATTTCACAGAAATTTCCCAGGCTGTGAAATATTTCACAGAAATTTCACAGGGCTGTGAAATAATTCACAGAAATTTCACAGGGGTGTGAAATATTTCACAGAAATTTCGCAGGGCTGTGAAATGTTCCACAGAAATTCCGCAGGGCTGTGAAATATTTCACAGAAATTTCGCAGGGCTGTGAAATGTTCCACAGAAATTTCGCAGGGCTGTGAAATGTTCCACAGAAATTCCGCAGGGCTGTGAAATATTTCACAGAAATTTCGCAGGGCTGTGAAATATTTCACAGAAATTTCCCAGGCTGTGAAATATTTCACAGAAATTTCACAGGGCTGTGAAATATTTCACAGAAATTCCACAGGGCTGTGAAATATTTCACAGAAATTTCACAGGGCTGTGAAATGTTCCACAGAAATTCCGCAGGGCTGTGAAATATTTCACAGAAATTTCGCAGGGCTGTGAAATGTTCCACAGCAATTTCGCAGGGCTGTGAAATGTTCCACAGAAATTCCGCAGGGCTGTGAAATATTTCACAGAAATTTCGCAGGGCTGTGAAATATTTCACAGAAATTTCCCAGGCTGTGAAATATTTCACAGAAATTTTCCAGGGCTGTGAAATATTTCACAGAAATTTCACAGGGCTGTGAAATATTTCATGAAATTTCTCAGGGCTGTGCAATATTCGATATGTTTTAGGAGCTAGAGTATGCAACCCGCATCAAACACATACAAATAGAAGAAAGTCACAATTTTTACATATTGCGAAACATGCAAATAAGGAACCTATATTTTTCCAATTATTTCATAACTTTCTGAAATTTAGAGGATATTTACAGAAAGCACCAAGCGGTATTTTGATTAGTTTTATATTAAAATTCAAAACAAGAAATAAATTAGAGCACATAAAGTGCAGTTATGTTGATTCTGGTTAAATCCATCCACTTCGTCGCTTGCCTGACAAAAAGGCGTAACTGCACTGATAGATGAACCCGACAAACCATTGAGTTTCGTGGACAACAGGGTCCGTCCCAAAATTTAGATACGTCTTTACGTCAGGAGGACGACGCACAGTGGATCGAGGATCGAGTCGATAATACAGAAATTTTTGGCTAAAACTGCAAATTTTGATGTTCATTTTGTCACATTTTTTTCAAAAGGTGTTTATGGAAGAAAATTTCACTACAGAACTAATGGAGCCACTTTTAGAACCTCAAAGTTTTGTATAAACGGGGCTATAGGTGTTTAAAGTTTTGCTGGAAAAAAAACAAATTGGATAGAGTCCAGACTCTTGAAAACATCAACAAGAAAAAATACTATTGATTCAATCGAATTTTTGCTTGAATCAAAACGAAATCCTCTTAAATTAAGAGGTTTGGTTCTTGATTTAAGCTAGATTCTGATTGAATCAAGAGTACTTTTTCTTGTCGATGTTTTTAAGAGTCTGGACTCTAGATCCAATGTGTTTTTTTTCCAGTGTTCAACATTTTGTCCGACCCCTCCTATTGGCTCGATCCACCGTGCGACGGCTTTGTGTTTAGCCACAATCCATTTTCGCCGGTGCAGGTACTCCCCGAGTAGGTTGCAGGTGACCCTTCCTTACAGGTGACCCTCGGGTGCCCGTCGGAGGGAGATGCGCCACAGGGCGGCAACGCGGCGATCCGGCGGGGGGGGNGGGGGGGGGGGGGCTGGGGGGGCTTCTCTGGGACTGGTTGTGTGAAATCGAGGACGGTCGGGGCTGCGTCACGTGACTCGAGATGTGGTCCGAACCGCTTGCTTCGGCTCGGGCCGCGGACCTCAGTTCAGTGCCACCAGTTCACCACTCGCGGCTCTCCGCGTCCACCGCGCCGCCCCCTCCCCGCCGCCCTCACCCGCGCCCGTGCATTCCAAACTTTCGAGGCCCCACCGGCCAGAAACCATAGCTTTACGACCTTTGAACAACGTCCGGCTCTCAATCTCTCCGACGAGTTTCCTCGGGATTTTCGCGAAGTTTTACCACGATATTCGTCGTTTGTTCCGTTTTTCAAGGGCACTCGTGTCCAGTTTTGACCGCATTGTGTGATGAAAGATTCTAGTTTGACCTCTCTAATCTCTTGTTTACACTCGGAGTGACATCGTGCCATTTCTCTAGTTCTGTGATTGCCGTTTTCATTGGACCCCTTGTTGAGTGAAGTTCTTTCCCCCGGAAAGAATCACCCCTACTCAGGTCTAGATAGCGTTTATTTTACGCTCGAAGGAATTTTTAACAGTGTATGGATGGATTTAGACCTACCCTTTTAACGCTTTTAACAAGCTACCATACATTGATTTCATTCCAGACTTAATGCCTCAATCATCGCAGGGCAACATACATTGAGCTAACATTGACTTGATGGTTTCTATCCTATGGTATTTCGACCAACTCCGATTCGGATGTGCGGAGGGTAGTCTAAGTTCAAGGCGATTCACCGAGAGCTGAAAATCCACGCGCGTCTTGTGTTGTGTTTGACTCGTTAATCGGAATGATGATGCGTGCAGCTAGAAATCGTTCGTAATTCCATTTGCATCCCAATTACTCGCCCTACTTCTTGCCTGCTGCCGGGTCAGCACAGTGTTGTGATGGGGCGATTGCTCACTTGTTTTCATCAGCATTGTTATCAGGAGTGTAATCATCGGTTTTGAATAACGCGTATGTTACCATGACAACGATCTGACAACATTTTCAAGCAGTTGTGTACCGAAATTCGTCCGATAGTGTCGGGAGCGCGTGTGAATGCTAGTCGGTCGAGTGACTCAAACGCAAGGGTAGGAAAGTGTCGATTTACACACGTGATTTGCACTATCACGCCGCGTCCGGTCAGCGTTTTTCAGCGCAACGGAGCAGAACGCGCAAGACCTTCTTACACGCGTTATCTACATCGGGAATGTATCAGTTTTTTCGGTCGAATACGCGGGCGTTTCGAACCCGAGCTATTGAGCATTTCACGCACCTCGCTCCACGGTGCGCACCGCGAACCTAGCTCGATTTTACTTCTTATCTTCGAGCCTGGTAGAAAACTACGGCATACACTTCCACATAACCTGAATAGATTAAGTGTATTTAAATTACCAGTGCTTTGTCATTGTGAGGACAAAGCAACGACCACTAAGAATTCTCCCAGCAGAGAATTCATTTGACACACGCATTTAAAAAGTGCCTGCTTGCAGTTCCAGTTTTGTATCCCTCCAGAAGGAATATTGTGGAGCTGAATTGGTTCATTTGCATATGATAACTCATCTAAATAGTTGTTAAGCTCTTAAGCTCTGGCCCACTGGGTAATCTACCGCGGGTCTGTGACTTATTGAAAAACTAACCTACAAGAAAGCTCCTTGAGTCTCCTGTCTAGTCAAGCAAATCCAGCTACCTTAGATGCGGAGAGCCACTAAGCATCGCTACTTCACCTTCCCTTCGCGCTTCACATAATGGCCTTCAAGATGCGCAAGGACATCAAGAACTCCTCCTACTATGTGTGGTTCTTGGGTGCGCAAGAAGCGAGGGGCTTGCGCGGGCCCGAGTACGTTCTGCCGGTCATCAAGAGCCTCGTCGAGCGCGAGAAGGACGTCGAGCCGTTCAAGATCACGCTTCAGGTCAGCTCGAAAGGCATCAAGATCATCCAGAACGTGCCAACGCCGATCGGCGAATTGCCCGTCCCTCGGGCCTACCCCAAGACGCAGAAGACGGAAGTCATCAAGCACTTCATCCCTCACCACACCCTGACCTACGTCCTACAGGATAACGACATCGTCGCTTACATCTTACTGCTCTTCAACCCCGTCACCAAGTGCCCTGTCCACGTCCACGCGCACCGATGTGACTCCACCGAAACGGCCTTCACGCTGACAAGCCTCCTCCAGACACTGATCGAGCGACCGGAGAACCAGAAGAAGCTAACGTCCATCGAGATCAGTCTGAAGGCGAAGGGGCTGCTCCCGCCGGTTGGGGTCAAGGCCAAGCGCCCGCAGGTCACCTCGCCGCCGCCCAGGAAGCCCGACTCCGAGGTGGAGCGAGAGCGAGGGAATCTCATGCCGCGAACGCCATCTACCGACCGAATCGCGAACTTGTACGATTCCCTGGCGGCGGAGCTCCGCGAGAAGCTCGGCTCGCCGCCGGCCGGGCATGCGCCTATCCTCCTGCCACCAAGGGACTACGATACCGTCCACCGTCAGAAGGGTAACCTAGTGAATATCGAGACGCGCGAGTGCCGGTCCGCGAATGTGGTCGGTGTTAATGTCAAGAACTCCCGCAAGAGCGCGGAGGCGAACAGGATTGCCAACGGGATCGCGCCCGCCAGGACCAAGATCGGGTCCTCCGGCGGGTCCAGCGGCATCGGCTCGGACCACGCACCCAGCCCCGAGCAGGACTCCGAGACCCGGTTTTTGGACCATGAATCTAGCTCAGGTAAGCTGAAAATTAAGTCTTCAGTTTAATCAAATATATGACAAGGGTAGCAAGCAATTGGTATGGTAAGGGCATGTGCAGAGAATGGCTGATACCAGGTTGCCGTCGGCAACCTGGTATCAGCCCTTCGGTTATCGGCCCTGGTATCGGCCCTTCAGTTGCCTTCGGCAACTTGCCGAAGAAGGTGTTGGAGTGGGTCCTCCCAGGTAGGCGACGGAGAGGGCGTCCAGCCAAACGGTGGAAAGAGGGCATCCGTGAAGAGATGGAGAGATGCCAGCCTCTGGAGGATCTCTACCATAACAGATTCCTGTGGAGAGTAGGCGTCGCAGAGCGCCCTAGCGCGCCGTAAAAGCGGCTCATACATACACATATGACAAGGGTGGAACCAAGTATTTTTTTGAGGGGGAGGGGGTGTGCAGAGAGGGGCCTCATAACAACGGCTAGGGGAACACAGCAAAAAACCCTAGCTTGTTTGTTGTAGCCCTAGGGGGGCTTGTTTAGGAGGACTGTCTCAGTTCAGAGGGCCTTCCGAACAAAATTTTGAAAAATGAGACGTCTTCGAAGCAAAAAGCTGTCTTTCCCGTCGAAGTATTGAAATACAATTTAAAAGATGATAAAAATTCCACTAATTTTTCAGAAAATGGTTGAATGGTATTGGGGAGGGAAAGTTACAACGTAGATTTACAGAAAATTGAATGAAATAACGCTTTGAAACTTCCTGTAAATTTGTGTAGGTTCATAAAACTTAAATTCACAAAATTTCATGGAAGGATGTATAGCGTCGTTTTCTGCTGTTAGAAAAATAGAACACAAAAGAAAATCAAACCGCCCGTTAAAGAATACCATGGAATCATGGATGTCGAGGAGTCAATTAAAGCTCTATACATCATGTTTTCTTCTCAAGCTTTCACGAGGAAAATGAGTCACACAACAGAAAGTCTGGAAATCAACTCTTAAACAAGATATAGATGTTTACAGTTAAAATTGGCTAAATGGCAAAAATACAACAGAAGTCATCCACAAAATCTGACTTCCCTGTGATCGTGTCAAAAATTCCTACTAATTTCTTGTTCAAGGATTAACTGTCGAACTTTCTTTTATGTTGTTTTAGGTATTTTATCCTGTTTTGACACGGCAACCTTGTATGGGACCTATTCGTCAGAAAATAAAAAAAATTATAAAATCATGTCCGGGGAGGGGGGGAGTTAAGTGTTTTAGGAAGGAATGAGGGGTCGAGGAGCTTGTCCATATCGATTTCACATTCTAGAGGCACTGCAAGGATGACTTCAATAAATTCCGAACTTTCCGTTGTGTGAATTGTTTCGTAGATAAAATTTTGAAGAAAAAAGCATGTGGCGTCTTTCACCAGCTCAGACCTCGTCTAGTAGCCCATTCTTCAAATTTCAGATACCTGCCGGGTATTTACTCTCTGCGTGTGGTGAGGAATGCGAGGATCGCACATTTCACTCTCACTGGGGACGTCGGAAGCATAGGTCCGCGTAGGCGACACGGGGAGGAATTAGGCCGTGGATGGATGAGCGACGAGCGTGGCTCTGTGCCATTGGAATGGGGGCTTCGGGTACGCGTCGCACCGGGCGGTGTGCCACGTTGGTCGGTGTGCAAATGCCTGGACCGGACCGCGGACCACGGCCGGCCGGTCGCTGCGGACCTCGGGGCGGTTTCGCTGAATGCTGAGCAACGAGCAACGGTCTCGCCGCTCCGAGATGAGGAATGGGAGGATCCTGCATTTGCACCACCGCGCCGACGAGCCGTTGCCGCCCTGCGAGAAATTCGCATTATTTTAGGAAATTACCAAGAACTCAGGGTTCTATTTGATCCCAGTTTTTTCTTGGTAAAATTACCATTTATGGAATTATAATTTAATCTCGGTAAAATTATTGAACTTTCTCGGTAATTTTACTGGACCTTGGTAAAAACGCCAATATGTTTTATCGACTGTGGTAGAATTACCGAAATAAAATGGCAAAGTTACCGGGAATTGATTACCAATAAAAGTGGTATTCTTACCTGAAAAAAAAACAGTAAAAATACCGGTTTTTAGGTAAGCTTACCAGTCTGTCTTGGTAAAATTACTAATAATTGGTAAAAAAAAAGTGAGATGGTAAAGGTACCAACGGACCTTGGTAAAAACGCCGAGAATTTTTTTTGCAGTGTATGTGGGAGAGTCCGGCATGTCGATATTTTTTAGGTTAATTCATAAAGCTCATGTGCCGGGATCACACGCCAAATGTGGTAGTTGAATATGGAAGTCATCGGCCCGATGCCTGAATGTTGCGCCACAGGCCCGTATAAGACGATCAAAGTAGAGGCTTCAAAGAGACTCATCGATTGCCCCGACTTAAACCACTGGCCAATGAGAGGGCCAGGAAGGCATCAATGAATCTCTTTGAGGCCTCTACTTTGATCGTCTGACACGGGCTACACACAACGATTCTCAGCGACCATCGGATAATGTCGAATTTTTTTGAACTTTTCGAAAAGGTTTGATACAATTTGGTATAACAACAACTGGAATTTGTAAAATTTCAGCCGTTGAGCGATGACTGTTGACTTCCATTGTCAGCTGCTAAATTCAGCGTGTGATTCCGGCAATAGGGCCCAAAAGGAAAGCCAACATATGGATTCAGATCGTCCAAAGTGTTGTTTGGACCCTTGGACACCCTTTGTTTTTCAAGTATGTATTTGACTTAGTTTTTGCATAAATTTACTCATTTTCGTAGAAGGACACTCATTTATGAACATTCTCGACCATTTTAGTTTGATATTGGAATCTGAAGATTTGAAGCGGCATTTTTCTAGTGTTTTTCGTGTTAAAAGCTTGGCTGCCCTTTTGCGCCCCAAGAGCTCCATATTCAGACGTCTCCGTACTCTCTCCATATAGGTATACTCTACTTCCCTCAGCACGGGTAGTTCTATCGGAATGCTATGTACTTCCTAGTAAAATGGACACCTCAAACGTGAGATAGGTAAAATTAAAAGTTTGGCAAAAAATCGCAAGACAAAGCTCAGAAGTTGACCATCTTTTCACTCCATATATCACTGGAATCGAGATTTCCGACTGAATTTTTACGGAGGTAGATTACTGGTTTTTTTTCTATTTCCAATTCAAAATTTGACCCAGAGTATCGAAAAGTTTTGAAGACATGTTCTAAACTGTTTTCAAAAATTAATATTTCTCCTGGGGAAATGTGGCAACTTTCAGATGTTAATACAGCATTTTTCCTCGGCATGGAATATTAGATGCCTTTATGGTGGCACTGTCGATACGGGCATACGGTGAGGATCCAGATTCTCGTATACGAACTTTTTCGGATTGGGTCGCACTCAACAGATAAGCATACACCCCACAGAGCCCCCCATATTCATTTCCATTTTTTCAGGATATCAAAGGCACTCTATCGCGACCTTTATAGTAAAGGTTGCGTGCGCTCTCCGGAGCTCTTCTGTAAATTCCTAGAAACAGAGGATATCCACGTGCCGTTTGCTTTCAGGAGGAACTGACAATCTGCGTCATGAATATTACGGGGGCGACTAAAACCAGGTATCGAAAACTATGAGCAAAATTAGTTGATTTATGGTTCGAGCAATGTTCCCAATAAGTTTAGCAAATGACGGTTTTTGATAAAAAAAAAAAGTGCGCGAACAGGCAACGAGATGATCTTAAGAGACTTGGTGGTCATGGTCATGCAACGCTCATTGGTTCGAGTCAATTAGAGAGGTCGGACAAGAAATTCTTTACTAAAACTGCAAATTATGATGTTTATTCCGTCACATTTCATATTCTAAGGCATGCCCCTACAAGAAAACACGAGGAAACAAATGGAACCACTTTTAGAACCTCAAATTTTTATATAAACGGAGTTATGGGCTTTTAAAGTTTCCAAATTTTGTCCGACCTCTCCCATCGACTCGATCCACCGAGCGACACCATGAGTTTAAAATTTCAAAGATCCTAAGTATGATAATAAAACACATGCAAACAAAAAATTCAGCGTGCAGTCAACTTGCAGTGTGAGTTTTAAAGACTGACAATATAAGCGCAATAGCTCAGGACTCTTAAGATATCGATAGCTATAGTAAGAAACCACGTATCTCCATTATCTGCGTAAACTTCCTGTCGAACTTTATTTTTTCCTCAGAAAACTAGTTAACGTTATTACCTGGAAACCTCCTCGACTTTTCTTCTTTCTTAGCAAAGTATTTTGTGTTTCCAAGCCACAACAGGGCCGGATTAAGGGGGTGGCCACATGGGCCGCGGCCCATGGCGGCAAATCTAAGGGGCAGCAAAAATTTGCAATTTTTTAAAGTGTAGGTACAAAAAAATCGGATTTATAAAAACAAAATTACAAACGAGAAAAGGCGACAAAACCTCTCATTTCCTGAGAGTACAGTAATTTCTAATTTTGTCATCTCTCAGTGATACAAGTGACAGCACCCTCAATAAGTCGAGTTACGAGAGAAACCAAACACGCAATTTGGCCTAGAACGGCGCGACTTAAAGAGAAATGATAACGAGGACTTGAGATGAAAAGGAGAAGCCCTCGGCGCGGCGATCGGCATGTAACATATATTAGCGCCTACAAGACTGCACGAATACTTCACGCATTGCATCAAACACAGTGCGGTCACTGCAGTCAGCGTGAAACGCATAGCGCCTACAAGACTGCGTGAATACTTCACGCATTGCGTCCAACACGGTGCGGTCTGCGCGGCGCGGCGGTGGAAGTTAAAATCATTGAACCATATTTATGTTTGTTTTTTCATAATTTTTTCGTTCATTTCTTATGAATGGAAGGCCTTGTCCACACAGAGATAGGTTTACGGAACATAACTTTCGCGCAAAGTTACGTGAACTTTTGCTGGTAGTGTTGACAGGGCTTTCCCAAAAAATGCGTTCAACACGAGTAAAATAATGCGTCTTATGCACATTGCACCCCTTCCCCGCTGGCAAGTTCATTTGATGGTTTTTATCGAGTTTCAAAACGAATGAGAAGGGGGCGGCAAAATA